TCCTTCAAAATAAAATTGAAACTTTTCAAAAATTGGACATCGGGAATATAGTCAGGCTCACTACCTTTTGATAGCCCCTCGTACACGAGGCATTGCCCGTGTGTGCACCAGCTCACACCAACAATAGCAGTTCGGAGGCGTGATAAGAAATTTAACATTCATGATATATAAAAATGTACTTTATAACCCAACATCATACCAGGTTCATAGAATGGATGAAAAAGTAGTTATAAAAACTAGTAAAATAGCGGTAAATGAGGTTTATAAAAGACATATTACAAGTAGGTTCGTCTTGGTGTACTGACTTTGTGTCAGTTGTCCTGATTGTAGCACATCGTGTCAATATACTGCATTATCAGCGCTATCGTCATGCCACCTACATTCTATCCAGACAACCAGAAATCAAACGCATATACGTGTACAGGTAAATAGAGATATATGAGTCGGGGCTTAATGTAGACCTGGGAATTCCACGTTGGTTCTACCTCTCCCCAATCAGTAATGGCCAATCAGCAGTTTATGCAAATCGTGTCCATTTCTCATTGGCGCACAGTACAAGATATTTTGGAACTTGACGTACCAACTATTGTTCATCGTGCACGACTTTCTTTATTACCTGTGACAACACATGCTTGTCTGAATGAGTGTGTTTCTATTTTGTCCGTTTCTAAGACTACAGTTTCAATTTCAGTTTCTACTGGCTGCCTTCATGTACACGACAATGCACATATAATGAAGACATATACATGTATAACCCGTGAATTACAAATGCTATTCTTACATGTAGTTAGTTACAATATGTATAAAGCAATAGGCAACATCTTGACAGAATCTTTCTTCTGATGCGAAATAGATTGTATTGTCAGTGACGTGGTTGTTAGCGCGTCATCGTCCCAGGACGGGGTGAGACGTTCTTCGTAATATCAAACCATTAGTAATGCACACAGAACGTGCCCATGCTCCCTGACAGCTGAACAGCTTTCCCTTTGTGGAAATAAACATATACGTGTATTTCTTTACAGCTTTCAATAGACTCGCGGTTGTGCATCCATTTAATCTGTTTTCACAATAATAGGACTTTTTGACCGAGGACTTTTTTTCCTATAATCCCCCTCAATAGCCTTTTGCTACGCTTCGTTGAGTTTGGCAATTAGGTGGGTTTAATTCAGCCCCTGCATGTATATACATGTACTCAATATCAAGCGCATGTAGGTCAGGTAGGTATAGAAGAGTTAACAGGCTAAATATAGATTGGGGGATTTCCGATATTCTTCTGCAAGTCTGCAATCGTGTACTGTTCCCATTGGCTCGTCTGGACAAGATATATCGGAACCTGACGTCCTATCTCTTGTCCTAGGTGACGAAGTCTTTGTTCCATGTCGCTATATAACGAGAAGGATTTTACTTACTTATCTGTTTCAGTTTCAGTATCACGTTAATACGATCACCTATATATGGGCGATGATTGTGATTATGTTTAAAGATGAATATAAACTTAGAGGTTAAACCAGTTCGTAAGCAAATAAATAGAACGTGGTAATATAGATGTAATCACTTAAATACTATTTCTTATGTTAATTAGGAAATCATTCTGAGATTACTTAGAGTCCATTTTACGATTCCAACTGCATCATGTGTTTATAAAACGCTGCCTAATATCTCCTCACGCTGAAGGCACAACGTGAAATACATACACTGTGTTTGTGCGGATTCAGACACCATTGCACTAACTCTCATGTGACTGTATTGTTTGTGCCGGTTTTAGCAATATTCCAGCAACATCAAGTCGGGGGACACCAGAGATAGGTGTCGTACACACGTGGGGAATCGAACCCAGGTCTCCGGCGTGATGAGTGAACACTAGCTACCCCTTGTCCCACCTAACGCGATACTTTACTAGACAACATTCGCCTACCAGCTGCCGACCTCGGCTAGATGTCTGCAACATACTGACTCGATATCAGTTTAGTGGGGAGTGAGAAGACATTTGTCACTTGATATTATTTTCACTCTCTGTACCCCGAGATGTTGCAGTCTTTCCTTCCCGGACACACATATACATATTTGATCACCAGTTACCCCGCCGGAAGCCAGAACTATATTTGTTTGCTTCTATGTCAATTCAGTTCAATTCTTTATTTTATATGAAAGGCCATAGGCCCATATACAAAAGAGATACATATTAACAATGACATTTATAATCAACTTTCTAACTAATGAAATGTTTCCTTGACAAAAATGCATTGTAACTAAATACTTTGTGGTTTTTTTAGGTCCTTTGCTGGAAAGTAAGGAAGACAATAGTTTAATGATATGAGATAAAGACAGTTGCGGTAGATACTTATTTCTTAGATTTTCATATACAGGTCAAATAAACATGAATGGAATTCATCTTCAGTAATGTAACAGAATGGACATTATCTTTGTTTGTTTTTTTCCATAGAAAGATATCTTCCACGGTTAATCAATAAATCATTAAGGTCTAACCTGAAACGTATAAAAGCATTGCGAACATTTCTGTAGCAAAGATAAGCAAGAAAAGACTCTGGCTCAAACAACGACTTGAATTGACGATATGAATCATATCTAGAACTTTCATGGATAGTTGAATGCCATTCCTGCTTAAACATATCAATAGCATGCATGCCAAACTGTCTAATAAACACATTTACAATGCCAACTGTCTGTGATAACCAAATAAAACCAAACCATATCTCAATAGTAAGGTGCGAATATGAGATATCCAATTATTCTTTCCAAGATAAACAATCTGTTTGATTGGCATTTTAGAAGTTGATTGATTATAAAAAAGGTATAATACTTTATGGATAACAACTTCTTTATTTATTATGATGCGACGTTTCGGTATAGCTTCTTATACCGTTGTCAAGCAAGAGTTAAGTACAATATAGAACAAGTTTTATGGATAACAACTTCTTTATTTCGTGAGTGCGACGTTTCGATACAGATTCTTGTACCGTTGTCAAGCTTGACAACGGTACAAGAATCTGTATCCACAACTTCTAAAATGCCACTCAAACAAGAGTAAAGTAATACAGCACAGAACCGACTTATATACATGTAACAGCATGTTAGATAAACAAGATCTAAAAGCATATTGAAGGCCTTTTTGAGGTAAACGAAGTTCAGGCATATAATTATTTTACACCAATATTTTAAACAACGAAAATAAGATGATATGTACAATGGAAACCTCCCACATTCACCATAACCCATAGCGTTTGGTGTTGACAAACAAACACATGGAAACTGTTTACAGGCAAGCAAATGATTTTTTCTTTGGTATAATTCACTTTAAAACCCCATATTTCAGATCCATACAGTAAAATCGGTTGTATTTGAGAATCAAATAATTTGAAGTAAATAGTCGTTGTAAAAGAGCTTTCTTTGCTCTCCTCGCCAGGTAAAGTACAGACGGATTCAGACCCAGCGTACGGGTAAACAAAATGCCAAGGTGTTTATAATCATTCACAAAATTCATACGTTTATGTTTAAAAAAACATTTCTCTCTAGCCGACAAAGGACCACCTCTACGGAATATACACACGCTTCCCGAAATACCTGACTATAACAAGTACAGGCGCACCTCAAGACGTACTCGACTCTGCTCCAGTCACACCCATTGATCCAAGTAGTCAGCATTATGCTGTGCGCGTCCGTCTGCTACTAAATATAGATAGGGGAATTCCCACCACATCTAACATGAAAACCAATGCACTATAATCCATGCGCTTGAGAGCTTTTTTTGTTCTCATATATGCGCAGTATTTCAGGTTAATGGAGTTTCAAAGTACCTCATGAAAAATTCATTTCAATTTCGTAATAATTTCATGGCGTTTTATTTCATTAATGTCTCATTGCCATAGACTTGAAACATGATCATGAGCAGATGGGCTTTTCGAAAGACTGGGTCACGTGAAGTCTCGAGTTAGATTGACAGCTGATATTTTCATTTTTAAACCAGTTCAGATCTCATACCTCCCCTTTCATTTGCGTGTCTATTACTACACAAGTCCACGTTTTGGTGCCACAAAATACATACTGCAAAGGTTGAAGAATACCCCGGTAAAAATTGTCACTAAAACAAGACAGACAGACAGACATATAGGCAGCTGAGGCAGATCTCCAAACATGCAGTCGCCATGGCGGAAATGCAAGTGTAATGTCTACCTCAATATTGACTTATTTAAATTTTTATTTGAATGTTAAGGCTGTGGCGCCTGGTCCTGTGCATAGAGCTCGGGCCATAATCAGTAGAAGTTAAGCGGTGTTGTGTGCGGAGAGTACTTAGATGGGTGACCGGGTTTGGCAGCTTGCGAAATTGACTCCTGAGAGTGCCTAGGACTTCAGTCCTGCTCCACAACGATACATGTGGTCTCACCTTAGGCAAGTAAGTTTGTTCAAAATTGTCTCTGTTCACCCAGCAGTAAATGGGTACAGACTATTAACCTTCTAGCGCCTAACAGGCAGCTTGTGTTGTCCGGGGTAATAATAGTCAGATTGTGCGCTTTGAGTAGGATATACGGCCTGGAAAATGCGCGTTATAAATATTCTCATTATTATCATTAAGCGTACATAGATGTACAAACCACTAAACAGTGTTAAAGTTATCACTTCCACAAACACGTGAACTTTGGGTGCCTTTCAGTCATTCTACAAATATTGTGTCAGAGTGGCGACAACCAGAGGATCAGATATTGACGTAAAAGTCAGAAATATTGTCTTCTTGGATGTTCCAAGGTCTTCCAACGGGTATGTTACCAGCAAACCTGTATACGTCCCTACTGCCAAGAATTCACTCAACCAAACAAACTATTGTAGACATAGCAGGTCTTCGGTGAGTGAAGAACAGTGTATATATGTCACATATGTCGATCCGTTCAATAACTATTCGCTGTTTGTCGTCACTGCAGTAGTCATGTGTTCGGGACATGTGTCAGCTGGTCATTCTAAACACAGACCAGGTGTCATTCTTGGCGTGGATATATTTTAGTTCACATTTTCCATGACCATTTCGAAACGTTGGTTCTATATTTGAGCAAATGTATTGGTATAAAATATTTGAACTGTTGTCTAGACGTCAGTTCTGAGACTACTGCCAGGTTGACAACATCCTTACTACGTCTACGACTGTGACACCGACATCAGCACACCTACCTGGTGAGTGATGGTGGTCTATTGACCAGTTCTGTTTCTATGTACATTTGTGGTTTAAAGCCACACTCAGCAATAGTCCAAACATGACAAGCATGGTCGCTTGCATGAAGGTCGACTAATGCAGTTGGGATACCCCGACAAGCAAGTCAGCGAGCATACCCGTACACCCGTACATCTGGACATCCGTTCAGTTTGTATCCGTACACTGCCTCCTTTGTAAAGCATGTGTAGCTGAAGACCAGTTCTAACTGATTCTTCACGGGGGAATAGTTTTCGTCTAATTTGGAACCTCCCCTCTCGGTGTGGGGATGGTGTTTCTGGGTACGTAATATGTGAAACATGGTCCAAACTTGCCACGAAATCTTGGAATGTATGACGAAAGCCGGAATTCTGTTCACTATCTTTCTGGTATTATATTGAAGGAAAGTGTGTCTGGTGGGCTGCTGTACACAATTTGTTACTTTCTTTTCAGAAAATGTCACTTCACGATCTCAACAAAAAATTGGAAAACTGGGTAAAAAAACATGGCGGCTTTTCCGAAGATGACTTGAAAAAGGGTCTGGTTCGGTTTGAAATCGACACAAAAAAACTCCGAGTGATCACTACAGACAAACCACCTGACCCAAAAGATGAAGGAGGAAAGTCTGACAAAGACAAGAAAGAAGAATCTGACAAAGACAAGAAAGAAGAATCTGACAAAGACAAGAAAGAAGAATCTGACAAAGACAAGAAAGAAGAATCTGACAAAGACAAGAAAGAAGAATCTGACAAAGACAAGGAAGAAGTAGGTGGGGATGACATGGGCTCAGGAGTCGTGTTCAAATCGACGTACACCAACAAAACAGATGTCCCCCAGGAACACACGTTCATCATGAACAAGCAGACAGAAGCCACACTGACCAGCACCTTGACCAAAGGTTTTACCACTGATGGCATTGTTGGTATAAAGGTGAAGGTACCAGACGTCGTCTCCAACGCCACCAGCACCTTCGGCACGGACGTGTCCATCGCAGAAGACGACATGAGCATTGTGAAACACTTGCTGGATTGGTCCTCAAAAACCAAGGTAAACGTTGCACCGGGGGAGACGATAGTGACGGAGCTGAGGATCAGTGAAACCAAATGTAAAGTCCAGTTTAACTCGACGGTCGCCATGAAAGGCCGGGTGATTGCCCGCGTGTACAGGGCCGACAGACAGAATCCAAAGGTGATGCAGTCGCCGCTTGCTACCATCCTGTCTGACGACGAGACTGTATCACAGAGGTCTGATGTCTGTATCGACTTGGACACCGGGAAGGTGACCTGGGACATGTCAGGCTCTCTCCACTTCCGGTTCGGCGTGTCTCAGGACTGTGTGGTGTACGCCTTGGAAACAGATAATCCTCCAGTTACAAAATGACTGTTACTTTGTCGGCAGAAGCTTCTCGTGGCAACGGATGTAAACAAACTTGCCACCAGTGCGTCCAGTGTTAATAATCTGAAACAGAGAACGATCACACCTGCATAAGAGATATGCAGTTATACAAAATATATCTTGTACGTATGGCAACAAAACTTAAAAGAAGATACAAGTAACTTACTGTTCATAAAAAAGAATGACCAAGGCCAAGTGAATGTTAAAATACATACCTACATTTAGACATTTGTTTATGGAAAATAGACCTAGAGGTTTTGGCTCAGTATAGTCTGATCATGAACTCTCCCTGTGTAGTAGAAACACAAGAAATTGAATAATTACACTGAGTATTGTCTAATTGGCTAGTTTTCAAAAGAAAATGTGTTCATTATTTTTTCAGAAACATATAATAAACTGTTTTTGTCTGTACTTTTATATCCTACCTTGCAATAAAAAATGTTGGTTGGTAATTTGTCTTCTTTTTTGAAACGGTTTTGTACTTCTGTATATCGAACAGAGTTGTGGCCCTTGGAGTCATGATAAGCAGTTGGTCGTGAGTTCGAATCCCACCCTGTTATGTTATGTAGCTCGGTGTACAAATACTTAGCCAGCCTTCGTGTAAACCGAGCATAGTGGAAATGTAGACATCTGCAACACTGCGTTCCTCCTTCAAAAGGGACCCGTGAAGATCTGGGTTAGAATTGATCTTCAGTAACCCATGCTTGTCGTGAGAGGCGACCAACGAGATCGGGTGGTCATACTTGCTGACTTGGTTGACACATGTCATCGTATCCCATTTGCGTAGATCATGCTCATGCTGTTGATCACTGAACTGTCTGTCTAAGAAGCAGTTATTTACAGACATCCGCCATATAGCCTGGATATTGCTGAGTGCGACGTAAAACTAAACTCACTGACTCCTTCATAAGGCGACGTGTCATGATATAGAAAGTGTTAAACATGGCCAGTTTGGACCACATTCGTTTGACAAATTTGACATACGAGTACAGCTACAGCGTCACATCACATAACCATCCATCCACTCAGTGACAGTTGGGGCTGACGAAAATCCATTGTTTTTGTTATGAGATAGTTGTACACACACACTAAGTGCTGTCTGACAACACCGACTTTAGGAAAACAACGCAACTTAATTATAGCGAGGTTCATCTTATCCTAACTCGTACTTCGTTACAGTGAGGTTGATCTTATCCTAACTCGTACTTCATTACAGTGAGGTTTATCTTATCCTAACTCGTACTTCGTTATAATGAGGTTTATCATATCCTAACTCATACTTCGCTATAGTGAGGTTGATCTTATCCAAACTCATACTTCGTTACAGTGAGGTTGTTCTTATCCTAACTTATGCTTCGTTATAGTGAGGTTTTTCTTATCCTAACTTATGCTTCATTATAGTGAGGTTTTTCTTATCCTAACTTATACTTCGTTATAGCGAGGTTGATCTCATCCTAACTCGCACTTAATTATAGCGAGGTTTATCTTATCCTAACTCGTACTTCATTATAGTGAGGTTTATCTTTTCCTAACTAATACTTCATTATGGCAGGTTTATCCTATCCTAACTCATACTTTGTTACAGTGAGGTTGATCTTATCCTAACTCGTACTTCATTATAGCGAGGTTGATCGTATCCAAACTCGTACTTCGTTACAGTGAAGTTGATCTTATCCTAGCTTATGCTTCGTTATAGTGAGGTTTATCTTATCCTAACTCATACGTATTTTTCAATAAGCGAGAGTTTTACTTCATCTACTGAGTTTTGGATTTTCATATTGTTGTATTTGCTACTCAAGGGCAGAATTATTCCGGAATTGAAAATTCGAACACCCTGGACCGAATCACTGGACCAAATGAGAAAGTAGTTCAAGAGCTGAATACACAATGCCATTCAGAAAGTGGTCAAATGTAACATATCCCATATTTGGGATGACACTTTCTTAATAGAGTACAGATTCTAGTGCTTTTGTTGGGTTAGTCCCATCCGGCATTCGAACTCTGAGGGTGTTTGTTCAAATCCCGGATGGGACTCAACCCAACAGAAGTACTAGAATCTGTACTTTACTAAGAAAGTGTAATCCCAGATATAACATATGTTACAGTTCAAAAGCTGCCTCAATATGCACTAATGCACTGACAGCTTAAGTGTCACGTGTCGTGTGTCACGTGTAATGTGGTTGCATGTCAGTTCTATTTTCAGATGCGGCATGACGTGGACACACACGTGTATTCTTATTAAAGATTTGATATTCACGCTTGACACGCTTCGTACCCTACGGGATTTAATGGGGTTTCGAGAAGACACCTACTCAACACCCCTGTCTGCTATTGTCTGGGATCCTCAGTATTTTGGGAACAAACGTAGAGCTTTCTATGCCTGGCTAATGCGCACATTTTCTCAAGTCCTAATGGATTAACTGACTCTGCAGATATTTTTACATGTCATGCGTTATTTCGGACTGTGAAAATGTGGTTTATATTCTTTTTCTAACAATGAATGGCCAAACTACAACTACAGACAGATATTTCATTGTCATTTAGTTCAGATTATCTGTAATGTATAGTGACTGGCCAAATTACAACCACAGACAGATATTCCATTGTCATATAGTTCAGATTATCTGTAATGTATAATGACTGGCCAAACTACAACCACAGACAGATATTTCATTGTCATTTAGTTCAGATTATCTGTAATGTATAGTGACTGGCCAAATTACAACCACAGACAGATATTCCATTGTCATATAGTTCAGATTATCTGTAATGTAAAAGGACTGGCCAAACTACAACCACAGACAGATATTTCATTCACAACTGGGTTGTTAACTGTGATGTGTCCTGACAACTGGGTTGTTAACTGTGGTGTGTCCTGACAACGGAGTTGTTAACTGTGATGTATAGTGACTGGCCAAACTACAACCACAGACAGATATTTCATTGTCATTTAGTTCAGATTATCTGTAATGTATAGTGACTGGCCAAATTACAACCACAGACAGATATTTCATTGTCATATAGTTCAGATTATCTGTAATGTATAGTGACTGGCCAAATTACAACCACAGACAGATATTTCATTGTCATATAGTTCAGATTATCTGTAATGTATAATGACTGGCCAAACTACAACCACAGACAGATATTTCATTGTCATATAGTTCAGATTATCTGTAATGTATAGTGACTGGCCAAATTACAACCACAGACAGATATTTCATTGTCATATAGTTCAGATTATCTGTAATGTATAGTGACTGGCCAAATTACAACCACAGACAGATATTCCATTGTCATATAGTTCAGATTATCTGTAATGTATAATGACTGGCCAAACTACAACCACAGACAGATATTTCATTGTCATTTAGTTCAGATTATCTGTAATGTATAGTGTACAGTTGTTAACTGTGATGTGTCCTGACAACTGGGTTGTTAACTGTGGTGTGTCCTGACAACGGAGTTGTTCACTGTGATGTGTCCTGACAACTGGGTTGTTAACTGTGGTGTATCCTGACAACTGAGTTGTTAACTGTGGTGTATCCTGACAACTGGGTTGTTAACTGTGGTGTGTTCTGACAACTAAGTTGTTAACTGTGGTGTGTCCTCACAACTGAGTTGTTAACTGTGGTGTGTCCTGACAACTGGGTTGTTAACTGTGGTGTGTCCTCACAACTGAGTTGTTAACTGTGGTGTGTCCTGACAACTGGGTTGTTAACTGTTGTGTGTCCTCACAACTGGGTTGTTAACTGTGGTGTGTCCTGACAACTGGGTTGTTAACTGTGGTGTGTCCTCACAACTGGGTTGTTAACTGTGGTGTGTCCTGACAACTAAGTTGTTAACTGTGGTGTGTCCTGACAACTGGGTTGTTAACTGTGGTGTGTCCTGACAACTGGGTTGTTAACTGTGGTGTGTGTTGTTAACTGTGGTGTGTCCTGACAACTGGGTTGTTAACTGTTGTGTGGTGTGACAACTGAGTTGTTAACTGTGGTGTGTCCTGACAACTGTGGTGTGTCCTGACAACTAAGTTGTTAACTGTGGTGTGTCCTGACAACTGTTAACTGTGGTGTGTCCTGACAACTGAGTTGTTAACTGTGGTGTGTCCTGACAACTGGGTTGTTAACTGTGGTGTGTCCTGACAACTGGGTTGTTAACTGTGGTGTGTCCTGACAACTGGGTTGTTAACTGTGGTGTGTCCTGACAACTGGGTTGTTAACTGTGGTGTGTCCTGTGTTCTGTGGTGTGTCCTGACAACTGAGTTGTTAACTGTAGACATTCTCACCATGGTGTGTCCTGACAACTGGGTTGTTAACTGTGGTGTGTCCTGACAACTGTGGTTGTTAACAACTGTGTGTGTGTCCTGACAACTGGGTTGTTAACTGTGGTGTGTCCTGACAACTGGGTTGTTAACTGTGGTGTCCTGACAACTGAGTTGTTAACTGTGGTGTGTCCTTGACAACTGGGTTGTTAACTGTGGTGTGTCCTGACAACTGGGTTGTTAACTGTGGTGTGTCCTGACAACTGGGTTGTTAACTGGGTTGTGGTGTGTCCTGACAACTGGGTTCTTAACTGTGGTGTGTCCTGACAACTGGTTGTTAACTGTGGTGTGTCCTGACAACTGGGTTGTTAACTGTGGTTGTAACCTGTCCTGACAACTGGGTTGTTAACTGTGGTGTGTCCTGGGTTGTTAACTGTGGTGTGTCCTGACAACTTGGTGGTGGTGTGTCCTGACAACTGACAACTGTGGTGTGTTGACAACTGTTGTTAACTGTGGTGTGTCCTGACAACTGGGTTGTTAACTGTGGTGTGTCCTGACAACTGAGTTGTTAACTGTGGTGTGTCCTGACAACTGGGTTGTCCTGACAACTAAGTTGTTAACTGTGGTGTGTCCTGACAACTGGGTGGTTAAGTTGTGTAACAACTGTTGGTGTGGTGTGTCCTGACAACTGGGTTGTTAACTGTGGTGTGTCCTGACAACTGGGTTGTTAACTGTGGTGTGTCCTGACAACTGGGTTGTTAACTGTGGTGTGTCCTGACAACTGGGTTGTTAACTGTGGTGTGTCCTGACAACTGGGTTGTTAACTGTGGTGTGTCCTGACAACTGAGTTGTTAACTGTGGTGTGTCCTGACAACTGGGTTGTTAACTGTGGTGTGTCCTGACAACTGAGTTGTTAACTGTGGTGTGTCCTGACAACTGGGTTGTTAACTGTGGTGTATCCTGACAACTGGGTTGTTAACTGTGGTGTGTCCTGACAACTTGGTTGTTAACCGTGGTGTGTCTTGACAACTGGGTTGTTAACTGTGGTGTGTCCTGACAACTGAGTTGTTAACTATGGTGTATCCTGACAACTGGGTCGTTAACGGTGGTGTGTCCTGACAAGTAGCAGTTGGTCCCAGTTACAAGTAATATGGAATACGATAATACCCCTGTTGTCAGTGGACCACACTGTTACAACTCACAGCCTCTTTCATACCCAGTACTTATAATCGAGACTGACTATTCTCCGACGTTGATTTAATATTGTTCACATGAGTTTCAGTTTGAGACAGGATCGATACACTACAGACTTCACAATTCAACCCGATTGTTCACCCAACTTTTATTTATTGTTTGTGTTGCGCAGTTCACCACCCGATGTACGGCTGTCTACATTAGACTGTGTGTGAATTTCCAGATATATTTACGGCAATCGACTCATATCCATTCCTTTGTTCGTGGTGCGTGTAGAGACAAAGGTGGGAGGTCCTAGGAGACACCGGGGGCGTTGCTGGAGCTGTGCGTTGTCGCTATTTCCGAACAGATTCAAGGTATTAAAGGAGGACACGGAAGCCGGGATGCCATTCACCAGACAGTTGCGAGTTGATCATTGTCGTTATTTCCGAACAGTACCGAGGTATTTCCGAACAGAACCCAGGATTTCATCCATCAGACAGCTGCAAGGTCGGACCACTTCTTGAATCCACAAAGTACAGGCTCCCGACACCTTGGTAGGTATCTGTTAACCAATAATGTTTTTCAAGAAGGTGTTTTCCGTGTGGGGCTAGATGCCCCTGTTTCAGCATTACCTTGGAGCAATCAAACAGTTAGGAGAAAACCAATGTTGTTACTTGTAATCACCTTTTATCAGTGATTGTTGTTTCGTAGCTTTGATGCTTAAGATAAAGTGTTTCTTTATAATGTATCTTCATTTCTCAGATAGCTTGTCTATTTCGTGTGTTGAAAGTTAGGGTGTAATAAATAAGGATTGGGCATTTTTTACTCGTCGTATATTTTTTCTAGACCATGCCCATTCACGATCTACACAAACCTTTGGAAGACTGGGCCAGGAGGCGAGGCCAGATCGATGACGAGGAAGTCAGGTTGGAGGTTGACACCCACAGACTGCGTATCAGAACCACCGAGTCCTCCATGGCCGAACTCTCGGTCGCTGCAGGATCCAATTCTCCATCCGGGGTCTTGTTCAAGTCCAAATACAAGAACAGTACAGACACCACCCAAGAGCACACCTTCATGGTGGAGAGACAAACCGAGGCAACGGTCACGACCTCTTTGGCAAACGGCTTCACCAGAAATGGCAACGTTGGAATACAGTTAAACGTTCCTGTTGACGTCTCCAAAGCTACTGGCAGCTTCGGGTCGAGCGTGACCGTGGACACCGAGGATGAGAACACTGTGAAACACGCCGTCAGCTGGGGCATCAACTCCAAGGTGAATGCCCCTCCAGGGGAGACAACTGTCGCTGTTCTTAAGATTATTGAGGAGAAGCATCACTTTACCTTCAAGGCCAAGGTCACCATGAAGGGACGGGTCCTGGTACGAATTATGGATGACGACGGAACTGTTCTGCGCGTCATGGAGAATGACCTGGCCACCATCTTGGATGAAGATGAAAACTTTAAAAAAAGAATCGGGAGTCAAAGTTGACATGCAAACAAGAAAGGTCAAATGGGATGTGTCTGGGTCGCTGAATTTCCGGTTCGGTGTGTCGCAGGATGTGGAGGTGTTTCACGAGAGAAAACAGCAGGCTCAATCACGTCGCTAAAGTTTCGACACCATTCGTGCTCTGCTAAAACTAGATTCTTGTTCATTTCTTCTTTCCAGATTCTTATGCAGGAATATCATGATGATTATATATGCAACTAGGCAGTCTGTTTTTTATCCTACTAAGTTAATCAGCCCCACAACTGTAACAATATCTACTTAACTAAACATGTATGATGGTGGAAATAAAACTTGTAAGTAAACTTCTGACTTGACTTTTGACTCTTTTGGTGAGATATCCCGGTTATTTTGACGGTTGGTTGTTTAACGCCGGACTCAGCAAACTTCTAGCTATATGGCAGCGGTCTGTAAATAATCGAGTCTGGGGCAGATATTCCCGTGATCAACGTCATGAGCATCGATTGGGATACGATGACATGTGTCAACCAAGTCAGCGAGCCTGACCACCCGATCCCGTTAGTCGACGCTTACGACTAGCCTTGTTGAAGGCCTATTCTAACCCTGATCTTCACGGGTTATGGCGGCCGTTTTACCTACGAACATGGATCGCTCTAGGATGTTAGTCGTATAGAAACATCACCGTATAGGTGAGTGATGGAATGACTGGTCACGTCAGTGGCTGACTGGATGTACAACGTTCCACGCCATGGAAGCACGATGACACACTGTTAGCCAAGCCACACAGTAAGACAGGTCACACGTTAGCCAGGCCACACAGTTAGACAGGTCACACGTTAGCCAGGCCCCACAGTTAAACAGGTCACACAGTTAGCCAGGTCACACGTTAGTCAGGTCAAACAGTTAGAAAAGTCACACGTTAGTCCAGGTCACACAGTTAGACAGGTCAGAAAAGGTCACACGTTAGACAAGTCACACGTTAGCCAGGTCACACAGTTAGACAGGTCACACGATAGCCAGGCCACACATTAGACAGATCAAACAGTAAGAGAGGTCACACAGTTAGACAGATCACACAGTTAGACAGGTCACACTGTCAGATACGTCACACGTTAGCCGGGTCACACAGTTAGACAGATCAAACAGTAAGAGAGGTCACACAATTAGCCAGGTCACACAGTTAGACAGATCAAACAGTAAGAGAGGTCATACGTTAGCCGGGTCACACAGTTAGACAGGTCACACAGTTAGACAGATCACACAGTTAGGCAGGTCACACAGTTAGCCAGGTCACACAGTTAGACAGATCACACAGTTAGGCAGGTCACACAGTTAGACAGGTCACACAGTTAGGCAGGTCACACAGTTAGACAGGTCACACAGTTAGCCAGGTCACATAGTTAGCAAGGTCACACAGTTAGACAGGTCACACGTCAGCCAGGTCACAGAGCCAGGTCATACGTTAGCCGGGTCACACAGTTAGACAGGTCACACAGTTAGACAGGTCACACAGTTAGACAGATCACACAGTTAGCCAGGTCACACAGTTAGACAGATCACACAGTTAGGTAGGCAGGTCACACAGTTAGCCAGATCACACAGTTAGGCAGGTCACACAGTTAGCCAGATCACACAGTTAGCCAGGTCACACAGTTAGACAGATCACACAGTTAGGGAGGTCACACAGTTAGGGAGGTCACACAGTTAGGCAGGTCACACAGTTAGACAGATCACACAGTTAGATAGGTCACACTGTTAGCCAGGTCACACAGATATATATGGGAACTTAAGTGCATGACAGTGGGTGACACTAATTGTACATGTCAGTCCTATTTTCTACATTATAAGTCCCTAAACAGACATGTTATGGTTCTGATAACAGCAATCTCAAAATTAGGTTGCATACTCAGTTATTCTATTGACCATTTTATACAATTTATGGTACAACAGTTTGCCGTTTTGTCAATGAATACGAAGGAAAACATTTGTTGTGAATGAAAGTGTGTAGATTTTAATTTAAACCAAAAACATACTCACACAAAATATCATATATGTTCTTTTCCCAAAATACCGGTTCTCATAAATAAATAGTGCAATGGGTATGGTTTGAAAAGCGTATTGTGATATACCAGTATGTCGGTAATACCGTGTCGTCCTAGACTAAACTATGTGTATCGTTGACACAGCATCACATACAGTGAACTGTATCTCTGTATCAGCATCATATGACATACGTGTAGTCTAAACCACCAGTTCCCAAGCTGCAGCTGCTGGTGTGACAATATGATGTTTACTGGATCGGTAGTTACACCGAACAACGGAAACAGTCCGAGCCGACATTACCGTGACGGAGCAATGGAAACATTGTACCCAATGTATACTGGCCATAACATCCACCTTTCTGTTTAAAGCAATTGCGGAAAAGTGAGAACTACATGAGAGAACTACTATTTCATACTATTTCTGAATACATTGTCGGTGATATAGAAGTATCAAGGTGTGCTGCGACCTACAGTATCACGTTGTACTGCAGGGATGTTGTAGCAATACACCCCGGAATATGTATCGCAGTATTCAGATTCTGCTCTAGACAGGGTCCAGTGTATACAAGTAAAGCAACTGTACTACCACCACCCGTCTTCCCGACGCGTCTCGAGGACTGGTCGACCCTGCCCACGCCCCCATGTTTCGTCACAATATTAATATCTACAAGGGTCACTTTGGGTTGATTTCATTAACCACAATATTGTTTAACTCAACTCATTAAGTGTGTATTACCATTCATAACACGACACATACAGGCTTATATCCGCACTGCAATGTATGGATCAAACCCACTCATGCGAATCAAGCATATTGACGGCTTGAGTCGCTACAGTGTACAAACCACACATCTATGTAGTGAATGTGTACATTTCACTCGAACACTAAGTATATTACACACGGGGTAGAATCGTTATGTAAATAAACATGAAGAGTGTATACACTTGTCTTACAGCTCGGCCCATGACGGCAACGTACGTGGGACGTGTTCCCGATACGCGGAGTGCGCTGTCGTTATCGATTGTATAGGTTTACCTGAGCGTGTTGTGTCGCGCAGTAGGTATAGGTACAGAATGATGTGGAGGTATTACCGTTGATGACGTCATAAGTCTTATAGCTCACTTTATTTTGACCAACCACGTTGCCACACGCCACAGTCATAACGTGTGGTTATTTATAAAAACGTGAATCCCCCCCAGTCGACGACCACGTGCAGACAACGCCATGGAGAAACCAATGACTTGAGGAATTACCCGCTTAAAATATATTTGTAGAATATTCCAGGTTTGACATGGATTTATATTTAAATTCAGAACAGGGTATAAATGGTGATATTTTCAGGACATCATCCATTCGGAGACTGAGCTTCAGACGTTTGCAGTATTTGCCGAATTCCCAGCGACCACAGACACTAATTGTTGGACTTCACTCCTAATAGGGCGACAAACTTCTCTCGTGAGTACCATCTTTTTCTTTGAGTTTGTTATTTCAAATTTTTATTTAATTTTGTACTTGATAAAATATATTTTGACTTCATGTGATCATGATACCACGATATTTTTCAATTATAAAGAATTTACGTGGAAATATATGAAGTGGAAAGTATTTCTCAAATAATTACAGGACACCTGAAATATATATAGGGTTAACAGAGGCCATCACGACCCGAAATATCATGTCTACCTTACAGCTACCGTGTGAATAGACTTTCTCTTGTAATATTGTATAAACGTGCATGAAATATTATCCTATATAGTGTAAGTCGCTTTTTAATCAAGAGACTTGGCTTCAATTGAAAAAGTGTATTGCAATTATAGCTGTAGTAAATGTGACCAGGTAAAACATGTAGGAAGCAGTCAGCGAACATACCATGACGTACTCACGATGTACAATGTATGAATAGGGCTTTGTCGTCAGCACGCGTATAGTCTGTGTTACCAGGTATGTGTTCACATGTGTATCCGTGTACAAATAGCTTGTAAATTGTCATAAATTACTCAAGTAGTGAGAAATGGTTTTGTTGCGTGTGTATGTGTGGTGTGGTCTGTGTGCGTGCATGTGTGCATTCGTGCACGTGTGTGTGAGTGCGTGTGTGTGCAACTATTGACAAGTACAGTGTTTGTGGGTTTATTCATTTTACCCTTTTCTTTTCAGAAATCAACATGGGTGTGATCGATCTGGATACAGTTGTCAGGAAGTGGGTGGAGAACCGAGTGGGGGTCGGAAACGCCAGCAACAAGGCCATGGATATCGACTGGCACAGAGTCCACTTCTCTACCGTCAGTTCCAACTGTTACGAAAGCACCCAGTATCAGCAGCAACGCTATGGGGCACGAGGGTCCCAGAACACCGCGTCAGGCCGGTCCCAGGTTGTTTTCACGTCTAACTACGAGAACAACACGGGGGAGGTACAGAGCCACACCTTCCAGATGGAGAGGTCCACCGACGCTGTGGTCAGGACCAGTCTCACTAACGGCTTCTCCAAAGGCGGCGACGTCGGCATCAACGTTGACGTACCCGATACCATCTCCAAGGCGACTGCAAGCTTTGGCAACGACGTCCAAATACAACAGCAAGACGACAACACGGTCAAACACGCTGTCAAGTGGTCCCTGAACTCCACGGTGAAGGCCCAGCCCTACTCCCGGACCACCGCCAAGCTTTGTGTCACCGAGACGGAGAGCGAGTTCGACTTCGACGCCGAGGTGCACATCAGAGGTACAGTTCTGGTCAAGATGACCAACGGTGGGGGTGCCCAAACTGTAAGCCAGGGGGACATTGCGACCATTCTACAGGACGAGACAGATAAGGGCAGATTCAACTCCGACAACAAGGTGACCATTCAAGGGCGGAAGGTCTCCTGGAAGGTTGCTGGGAAACTCAAGTTTAAATACGGCATTTCCCAGGATACATCTGTATCGAGTGAATCACTTTTGTAGATGGTGATACACTCTGTCAAAGACTATTGCAAGATGGTCACAGTCCGAGATCGGAAGGCGATACAAACGTTTGAGACATTTCTTGTTTATGAACTTTATACATGAGAGGAACTGAGATTAAGAAACAACTTTTCAGACATCCTCTGAAACTCTTAAAATGGTTCAAACTGCCACTTGATTACCTTTGATATCACCCTTGGGTTGACGCTGGAAAATATTTGACTTTTGTGTTTAATAATATTTCTGTGTATTATGTTGTTGTTTTCTACCATACAAGAATATAAGCATTACAAATTGTGCGATGTGTACATTTGTTAAAATAAAGTGTAATCATCAAATAACAAACGTATTCTTCGCCTTTACATGTTATGATCATCTCGCTGCATAGGAATTAGTTCACGTAGGAACTGAAGGGAATCAACGGCAAACCCATGACTGGTTGAAACACCGTCATCCATCAACATGCCGCCGACCTTTGCCAAGAGGTCTCCGGAGATTTTTGGAATCGTCAGTTTCCGGCGCTCTCGATTCCTTATTAAGTGACCCGAGGAGGTCAGCCATCGGCCTAAGTTGGCCTGCCAGAGGACTGTCAGCTGACCAGGTGGTCGATCTTCTAGCAGATACCATTTCATTTCAATGTAGCATAACGGGTCGGTAGCTGCTCACAGTATCGAACACTGGTTACCTCAACCATACCCTAATATTTACCAAGTTAATACATAACCAAACAAAATGTATTTGGTCTTTTGTATAATAGGCAAAAATGGGTAAAATGAGTTCATGTAAAGGGATTTTACGTTCTCTTCTTTTAATGTTTCCTGACCGGCTGCTACAACCGTTACATATGTGAGACGTAAATCTCATGATTTGAGACGATTAGTGAAAGAAGTTTTCTTTTCACATCTTCTACACATACATGAAAAAAGCTCAAGTTACGAAAACGAAGCTTTAAATTCTTATTTGATACTATCTAATCGTCCTTGATACCTGATTTCCCATGATACCTGATAGAACAAACATGAATGTTTGAGTGAAAGTTTAATCAATGCACACAGTACGCCAATATCAACAAGAGGGAAAATAGTTCACTGTACAGGTTCCACATTCGGCAGCCTCGTTCTGCATTCCGCCAGCAGATCACGGGGCTGCAACACACAAAAACCTGTGTGCATCATGTGTGAAAGGGTGTGTAGATGATGTAGTCAGTAGATGATGTTTCACATCAAGGGAATTGAGTTACATTTCATTTAACGATCGTCTTTGACACTATGCATTGCTCACAAGGTTATTAATTTCAGCCGCTCACACACACACGCGCATTCACACTATTACACGAAAACGCAAATGGACATGCGCACGTGCACGCACAATCACACGGAAACACAAATGGACATAACCTAGAAACCTATGCGTGTAAGAGTTCTTCAGTAACCTATGCGTGTGATAGTTCTTCAGTAACCTATGTGTGTGAGAGTTCTTCAGTAACCTATGTGTGTGAGAGTTCTTCAGTAACCTATGTCTGTGATAGTTCTTCAGTAACCTATGCGTGTGATAGTTCTTCAGTAACCTATGTGTGTGACAGTTCTTCAGTAACCTATGTGTGTGACAGTTCTTCAGTAACCTATGCTATTTGTGAGTTCTTCAGTAACCTATGTCTGTGAGAGTTCTTCAGTAACCTATGCGTGTGAGGGTTCTTCAGTAACCTATGCGAGTGAGAGCCCTTCAGTAAGCTATGCGTGTGTGAGAGTACTTCAGTAACCTATGTGTGTAGAAGTTTTTCAGTAACCTATGTGTGTGAGAGTTCTTCAGTAACCCAGGTGTGTGTGTTCACTACAATGTATTGCAGTGTTTCTCTTAAGGTTCAGTCGTGTTCATAGCATTGAGTTTTAACAATAATTAGTTACCTGCAGTATATTACTATCTTATCTTAGGGATGGTACGGAAGTTACAACGCTTTCATGCTTTTGGAGTTGAGGGTAATCTGGAATATTCAAGAACAGCTGCAGAAAGTAACATCATTGTGTAGTAGTAACTAGTAGGTGTGGCTGTCGCCTCAACATGTCGTCAAGTTCGCAGTGGGTGAGGGAAGCAGTGAAATGCAAACAATAATTACCAGATTCTGGACCTTCGTCCTCGAACGCCAGCGCCGCATCAAAGAACTCATCCAGATCCACGGTGCCATCACCTTTGAACCATTACAGAAACCGTATCTGAGGACGTACTTGAAGTCGGTGAATCGCACCACAGTGGTCGAGTAAAAACATTTGAATCTACAATTGAACTATTGTAAATAGTGATGCCCCAATATAAACCTTTGCTAATAGCCCATTAGTTAAATGGCTGTCTACATTGGTAGAGGTACATTTGGCCCTAACAATGGGGATACCAGTGTGACTGACACAACCACCCCCACACACCTAGTGAGACAGCCACACGCACACGCACACGCACACGCACGCACATGCACGCACACACGCTTATACTGTTACGAGCTTCACGTAGACATCAACTCACGCTTGGCATCGGCCATGTTCATGAAGTGGTCGAGTTGGGCATCGCTGTGGTCGACTCCGAAGTAGCTGGCGGCCTCGGACCTGTCCACTAATCCGTCTGTGTTTGCGTCCAGAGCCCGGATCTCACGCCCAGTAAATTTTCTGTAGACGTGAACATTTGCAGTGACTGAACATGTGTTAGGAGCATTCAAAATGATTGAATTTCTAATCAGTCGGCATCAGTCGGTAAGCTCTGATACCTGCTGACCGGAGTCCCGTAACTGTGCGTATTGTTGATTCGCCGACATAGTGCATCTATGAGGAGGCGGTTGCGGAGGTGCACACGTACCCAGATACCCGTCTTCCTCTGACCTTGGTCTCTCTGTTCTCAGCCTGAACATTGTCCGACCTGCCTGCCTGAACCGTTGCAACAAGTTTCCAAGGCAACACAGGAACAGTCAAAGGTTCCTGCAACGTCGGTATGGGTTGTCTCCATCTGTATCATTCCAACGGCTGTGGCACGTGCATTTCCACCAGTATTTCGAAGTTCACGTGAATTCCAATTTTTAGCATGTTCTCAGAAACACGTGTATGGTCCCGGGACAGAAGTCACGTACACAAAGGTCGCGTTGTGTTTGCGACTATTTGGGTTTATATCCGTACTACTAACTTTTATGAACACACATGTATGTCATTTAGAAACTGGTCAAATGTAACACATTATTATATTTGGCATTACACTTTCTCAGTAAAGTACGGATTCCCATCCGTGATTCGAACCCACAGTCTCAGATTCGGGCACCTAATCACCAGCACACAGAGTCTGTCTCTAACTCACTCAGCTACCGCGGCTTCTAGAAAAACGTTAAGTAGGCCCTAATCATAATTTCAAATGTGTGTAGTGCCGTTTATTTGATGATAACTTTGTGATGGATACCATCACTCAGGTGTTTGAAATGCGCGAAAAAACAACTGCGCGAACAGGCCTTTTGTGAACTTTCCGCGAAAATTGCACCCCGCGAAAATATATACGATTACAGTAGATGTTTTAATTTAAAGAGCAGTGTTTTCCTGATAGAAAAAGTAATTAACATTAAAATCATACTGAACAAAATACTGATAATCAAATCTGTGAACGAACCGTTTTAAAAAGGGCATAGATGAATGAAAACATTCTACATTTCGCCGCCTGAACGATGATGCCACACGTCACGTCTTGACGAGCTACAGAAACAAAGCCCAGTTCTCGTCAATCTGTGGAAGTCAACTGAACGGACTACTGACAATCAGCAATGACACCAGGTGTCCGAGAAAAGGGTAGTATGTTCTGTCCTACCAGTGACGCCGTTCAAAAGATTTTCACTAAGCCTTTACAGGCCGCCCCAGCGGCCATGCGACGGTGATGGCTTGTAAACAAACCAGACAATCAAGTGATCAATCAACCAAAACGTCCAGTGACACGATAGTGGATTTATTAATGTGAGCGTGAGTTAATGATTTGAGGTTTACGCCGGTTTTGGCAATATTCCAGCAATATCACGCGTGGACACCAGAATTGGGCTTCACACATTGTACCTATGTGGGGAATCGAACCCGAGTCTTCGGCGTTACGAGCGAACGCTTTAACCAGTAAGCTAGCCTACCGCCTCTTACTGATGACTTTTAGATACAGACTTGACTGGTGTCTGCTTAAAGTGACAATGCTGAATAACGTTGTTGAAACGTTATCTTTAACAGTGTACCATAATCAGTAGAACATTGAAACTAAGAGTTATTTCAACAAGATACTTTAACGGTAAATAGTAAATACCTGTAAAGACCACACCCAACCTTTATTCCCGTGTGGTAAGGCCCGAAATATGTTTTAGCCACAGTGCCCAAGACTGGCTTGATGAAGGGTTTTAGTGTTCGGAAAGGAACTCTGAAGCGTCGAAATCGGACTCGTAACCACCCATCCGTTCCCATGACGACCAGGACAGCGGTCAAACATAGAAGATACACCAGCTTCATTCTCACTCTGAAAATAAAGTCAATTCGTGAGAGTCTCGGTAATTGGGACATGAGAATTTTGTAATTCCGGAAGATAAGTCAGCGAAGCCTGATTATTCGAGAGATTTTTTTAATCAAACCACGTTTTGGTCGATACATATTTTCTCTACAGTTATGCATAATGAACTCCACTGACGACTCGGAGAGAGAATCACTAGGGATATAGTGCAACAATGAAGAATGAAAGTATGGGTGCAATCCCCCACTCCTGCTGTACCGGGGCAGGAAGGGAAGCCATGGAAACCTCCAAAACACCCTCCCACCTGCAGTCAAGTTGAGAGTGCTTCTCTGTTTCTGCTATGTTACAGTGATTCCCAACACAATTCCAAGCCATTAAGGCAAAATAAACTGAATGAAATGATAACAGATACATCTATAAACATTTATCAAATCCACATTATATTAATAAGAAAAAAAAAAAAGAAAAAACCCGGAAGTACCCCATGCATCCTGTGAGACAGCCTATAAGGACCCCCAGAAGTATATTGTTTGGTGGTACACCCCCAACCCCCCAACCCACCATCACGCCGTCAGTTTCCACCCACCACGCCGAGGGCGAAATATTACATGTCGGGTGCAGATTTAACATGATTCTTTACGTTCATAACTTGCTGGGGCAAAGGTACGAAAGAATACTAATATAATCGGTAACATGAAACTGAGCTGTCTCAAAAAATAAAATAACAATGAAACAATGAAAAAGAAAGAACCAAACCGCGACATTTTTTGGTCAAACGAAACAACCAGAAACATGACAATTCATTTGGTCTAGACAGTTTCTCTTCTATGGACAGTTGTGATAGCACGCGGTCACTACAGTGTAAGGACAGCTAAAGCACACGGTCACTATAGTGTAAGGACAGCTAAAGCACACGGTCACTGCAGTATTGTAACCTTAGCAATATATTCAATAAGCCTACCTTTATCTGGGCGTTTGGCTCTGCGCATCGGCGTGTCGTACATCAGGCTTTTAAATACTCGGGGTGTGAAATTCACAAGCGGCGTTTTCCGGGGAAACTCACGACAAATTTCCATTTTTTCCCACAATGTGTGATGTCCGGGATGCAAGCTGATGTGCTGCAGATATATCTACACAACATGCTACTGGAACACAATCTAACACCACCATAACGATGTGGAAACAGAAGCTGGCCGTACACACGCAGGCCTTGGCCAAACATATAAATGGCAGCTCACGTATAATGAAAATCTGCAAGAAACCTGTGACCGTGCCTTAAAATCATGGTTTGAATCGATATACATTGTTTAAGTTAATACATATTCATTACCTGTCTGATGTTACTACATATTCCTGTTCCGTACACCCACACGTCACATACGAGACATCCTGTTCCCTGTCACATACACAGACACCCTGTTCCTGTCACATACACCGACACCTGACACACTGACATCCTGTCTGTCACATACACAGACATCCTGTTCCTGTCACATACACAGACATCCTGTTCCTGTCACATACACAGACATCCTGTTCCTGTCACATACACTGACATCCTGTTCCTGTCACATCACGACACACTGTTCCTGTCACATACACCGACATCCTGACATCCTGTTCCTGTTGTCACATACACAGACACACTGTTCCTGTCACATACACAGACATCCTGTTCCCTGTCACATACACAGACATCCTGTTCCTGTCACATCACATACACAGACATCCTGTTCCCTATCACATACACTGACACCCTGTTCCCTGTCACATACACAGACACCCTGTTACACAGACACCTGTTCCCTGTCACATACACACATACACAGACATCCTGTTCCCTGTCACATACACAGACATCCTGTTCCTGTCACATACACAGACACCCTGTGTTCCTGTTCCTGTCACATACACACTGTTCCCTGTCACATACACAGACATCCTGTTCCTGTCACATACACCTGACAGACACCCTGTTCCTGTTCCTGTCACATACACAGACACCCTGTTCCTGTCACATACACCGACACACTGTTCCTGTGTTCCTGTTCCTGTCACATACACAGACACCCTGTTCCCTGTCACATACACCGACACACTGTTCCCTGTCACATACACCGACATCCTGTTCCCTGTCACATACACAGACATCCTGTTCCCTGTCACATACACCGACACACTGTTCCCTGTCACATATTCAGACACCATGTTCCCTGTCACATACGGGACATTCACTGTCATGTTTATCTAATAAATAAATGGTTGTGATCTTGAAGTCGTGAAAATAACTTTTGAAATTGACAACGTTTCTGCAACAAATTCTGCAGAGGGAACAAAACAGCAACTTATGTTATAACCTAGAGCTAACTAATACCAAACACGTAGAATATGTCACAATAGTGTTCCTGATTAGCTCCGATCAACGTATAGCAAGGACAGCATGGGACGTGTAGATAGCTGTTGTATTCCACCGTATTCTGTAACAACAGTAAACTACAAAGGGCCATGGTGTTACAATCAATACCACCAAATATACCTAACACCTCGTTACCTAACACAAAATCAGCATGTGTTACGGATAGCTCACATCCGGTTACACCAGAGTGTGAACTGCACTTATCACTCACGGATATCAGAAGCCCGTATCACACCTCCCGCCCGTCCCTGCGCCAGTCCCGCCTCTATATAGGAGCCCGATACCTCCTCACAGACGGCGGGCTGACAGGACGTCCACACAAGTGAGTATGCTTTTCAATATTTCATTGATACCTGCCTCGTTTTTAACAAAGTACCATGGGTGTGGGAATATCAGATCCTTAAATCATTGTCGGTGTGATTTAAAAGAACAAAGCGCCAGTGCCATAGTGGTCTAAGGAGTATAGTTCGCTGTTCAGAATAACGTCCCTTGTCCGTGTCAGGATTCGAATTGTGACTGCGAACTGATTATGACACGTTGTCTGTAAACATCATATTAGCGCGCGTTTTGACTGGACCTAGGTATTTCCTGCTAACACGTCTGGGTTTAGCTAACATGCGGTTCAAAGTGGAGGCTTAGCTCACACTCGCATATAGATACCCGTAGTTTAGCCAGAATGAAAGATAACTGTGTATTGACCGATTGATTTCTGAGTGGTGTATCTGTGTTGTGTATAGAAGTTGTATATATCTTAGTTCTATGTTTACCCATGTACATTAAAGTCAAGTACTTAAGTCGTGTGTCTTAGTCCTTTAGAAAGGTCGTCCTCTGTCCCAGTCTGAAAAATAAGTCGTGAGTCGGTGTCGCGATCTGTGTTGCGTATTTAAGCCACGCCATTAAGTCGTGTAGTTGTGTCATACATCTTAGTCGTGTGTCTATTCCCTGGACAGAATTCGTGAGTCTGTGACGTAAGCCCACGTCGTGAGTCTGTGACGTAAACCCACGCTGTGAGTCTGTGTCGTAAACCCACGGTGTGAGTCTGTGTCGTAAACCCACGCCGTGAGTCTGTGTCGTAAACCCACGCCGTGAGTCTTTGACGTAAACCCACGCTGTGAGTCTGTGTCGTAAACCTCAATTGTAAACCCAGTGAATGAATACTGGTCGTACAAGGACGTAAAATAATAATTAAAAAGTTATTCCAATCACGAGGATCGATGTCTGATGGAGTCTAGTCACTGGACTGGACTGTCCAGATTATACCAGTTGCCATGATATTACTGGAACTGCAGTGCGGCGTTAAATAAAACACAAGCCTTCCTTCGTCGTTTATCCAGACATCATATTTACGTGGTGTCGTTTATCCATACATCATATTTACGTGGTGTCAACATCGGTGCCAATATGAAATGTGGTGGCACGTGGTAGTTTGTACGGTGCGCAGGTCATAAATCAGCGTCGTCCGGCAACTTGGGTCTTACAATGTTGAGTATTTACTCCAGACACAGAGCAGTATGTTGATTCCCGACAGCTTGGGGTTTTTAGTCCTGCCCCAATGCTAAGCGCTTGTACCACTCGTGATGGGGGTGTGGTCTTGTGAATAGAGGCCAGGTGACCGTGTTTGGCAGCTTGGCACCTGAGAGTTTCTACTGTCCAACCAACATTAGAATGAGGTGCGCGTTTGTGAAAGCAGAGGGGGGAGCGTGCCGTGAACTGATCCACTACCCACTCGAATGGGGAACAGGTGTGAAAACTTCGCGCACGTGATTTTTGTGATCCTTGCAGTAATCACTTTCTATGCAATGATTCGGAAGCGTCGTGTTTCTGCTCGAGCATTTGTATACTAGTATCTTGTAAAGTGGACTGTTATAAAAGAGTATTAAACTCTGCAGATATTTGAAACTTATCATGTCGCACTCTAAATTGGGTAAACGGGGTCAAGTCATTCATTCACAAACACGTGAGAGGATGAAATCGAAAAACTTGTCGAACTTTTCGTCGATACAGATGACAGTGATATCAGTGATATTGATGACGAGTAGCAGATTCAAGAGACTTACATGTAGCAAATAGCAGACAAACTACCACTGGGCAATCAAATTACTAAGCTTTGTTTGTTTTATTTATTACTATCCCGTTTTGAATTTACATAACGATATTTCATTCCCCTCGAGGACAGCACAAGCGTATTATCCATAACATATTCACACACACAGAACCTGGGCTAGGACAGAAATTAACCTTTTGGTATTTTTTTTTATCGTTAAACACACAAACAATTCGAGTGTTGTATTGGGTTGTGTATGGAAATCGTCAACGGCAAAATAGCAAATAGAACCCGTTCCAGAAGAGCGAGAGTAGGCTGACAGGCTTCACAACAGTTTATCGCTTTACATACCCTCGGCCCCTTAATGGTAAAATGGACTGCACCGCTATTCAGATTCACGGGTTCAAATGACAGGTCGGCATTACAGTAGGACCCTCCTGCCCAACAAAGAAGTACATGGGATACATGTGGTCTCACTTTGGGGAAGCGAATTTGTTCAAAATTGCCTCTGTTCACCCAGCAGAAAATGGGTACCCGGTGGGATAAGTCATGTGACTATAACCTTCTAGCACCTAACAGACAGCTAGGTTATCCGGGGTAATAATGTGTTAGCGCCAAGAGCATGCTTACGAGTGTCGATATGCGTATTATAAATATAAACTGTTGTTATGCAGGTGACACGGTGGCATGGTCACGTGACTGTTAACTTTGGGATGTTGAGCTGCATACTGCTTAAAGAACTGCGAAAAACAATTACGTGCATATTGATCGAATGTTAGAGCTTTGAACATGCACCAACCGATAGCGCATTACAAGTACATGTATCCATTTTTAATCTTTATTTTTCAGAACAATTATATTATTATTATTATCATTAAGCCGACGGGTATATGAAACTGAAGCACTGCTAAAATTGGGGGCAAATTCATCTCATGGACTCTTCAACTTAAACATCGATGCAAGTTGGTTGATATATTGCAGGAACCATGAAGTTGTTCCCGGTGCTGCTGCTGTTTTCGATGTTGGTGCTGCTGCCGCAAGTCGATTCATTCAGTTGGAGACCAGCAATACAACTGGGTCGCAAGTACTTGCCCAAAATACATCGGGGGATAAAGGCCGGGTGTAATTTTTACAGGTAAAGCATTTGTACCATAGCCTGTGTTACCTCGAGAATCGCTGTATTTAGAGAATACAGCCTGTGTTACCTCGAGAATCGCTGTATTTAGAGAATACAGCCTGTGTTACCTCGAGAATCGCTGTATTTAGAGAATACAGCCTGTGTTACCTCGAGAATCGCTGTATTTAGAGAATACAGCCTGTGTTACCTCGAGAATCGCTGTATTTAGAGAATACAGCCTGTGTTACCTCGAGAATCGAGAATCGAGAATCGCTGTATTTAGAATACAGCCTGTGTTACCTCGAGAATCGCTGTATTTAGAGAATACAGCCTGTGTTACCTCGAGAATCGCTGTATTTAGAGAATACAGCCTGTGTTACCTCGAGAATCGCTGTATTTAGAGAATACAGCCTGTGTTACCTCGAGAATCGCTGTATTTAGAGAATACAGCCTGTGTTATTCGAGAATCGCTGTATTTAGAGAATCGCTGTATTTAGACAGCCTGTGTTACTCGAGAATCGAGAATCGCTGTATTTAGAGAATACAGCCTGTGTTACCTCGAGAATCGCTGTATTTAGAGAATACAGCCTGTGTTACCTCGAGAATCGCTGTATTTAGAGAATACAGCCTGTGTTACCTCGAGAATCGCTGTATTTAGAGAATACAGCCTGTGTTACCTCGAGAATCGCTGTATTTAGAGAATACAGCCTGTGTTACCTCGAGAATCGCTGTATTTTGAGAATACAGCCTGTGTTTCGAGAATCGCTGTATTTAGAATACAGCCTGTGTTACCTCGAGAATCGCTGTATTTAGAGAATACAGCCTGTGTTACCTCGAGAATCGCTGTATTTAGAGAATACAGCCTGTGTTACCTCGAGAATCGCTGTATTTAGAGAATACAGCCTGTGTTACCTCGAGAATCGCTGTATTTAGAGCATGTTCCGAAGCATGGTTGTCTATTGCTCTGGGCCTGGCAGTCTGAGACAACGACAGGTTCTGTCATATAGAAGGAATATTGTTGTGTATTACGGTAAACGAAACTCATAGAAAGGCAAACACTTATTGAGGCGTGTGTGGACGGCGGGTACGATTGGTTAGGAAGGACACCATTCGCAAACACCTGGTGTCATCACTGAATGACAGGGATCCGCTCATATAACTTTCACCGCTATTTTTGGGGACACAACTTTATTGCCACCACTGGTATCGTTTCGTTATAAGCTCAAAAGCATTTATCAGTGTGTTTCTTAACCTTATTCATTCGGTAGTTGGAACCGTGGGGTAGCTTAGTGGTTAAAGCGTTCGTTCGTCATTCCGAAGACCCGGGTTCGATTCCCCACATGGGTACAATGTGTGAAGCCCATTTCTGGTGTCCCAGAAATGGTGTCCCTGGAATATTGCTAAACGCGGCGTAAAACCAAATTCACTCACTCACTCATTCAGCAGTGCAGGTTATACGCCCATGGTACAACAATACCACAATGCTGTGACAGTCACTGGACAGGGTGTGGGACATGACATACAACTATTACCTGATACCAACGTGTTACAGGAATATACCCAGCTTGTCAAGCATACAGTTAATGGATCATGGGAGATGCAGTACTAAAGCAATACGTAATTGTCTTTATTATCACTCGGACTGGTGGGGTAGTTAAAGCGTTTGGTCTTCGCAACGGAGACGCGGGTTCGGATCCCCATATTGGTACATTGTGTGAATCCCATTTCCGGCTTACTGGAATATTGGTAAAACCAAACTCACACACTGACTCATCTCAGAACTACATGGTTCTGCGTTACAGGAAGTACGTCGGCCGCCAAGCAGAGCTCCTGGACACGAACAAAGATGGCCGCGTGGACAGGTCCGAGGCCGCGAACTATCTTGGAGTGGATCACGAGGACGAAGAACTTCACGACTTCATGAACAAGGCTGATTTCAAACGTAAGTACCTCCGCCTGACGTTCACCATACATTGATCCGATGTACTTAGCGTGAAGCACCTGGCCCTTGTGGTACCAGTATAATTTAACATTGATTTGGTAAGAATGAACAATGAAAATGTCATTACGCCATTCCTGCTCTCTTTAAACAGATTGACGTTCTAAAAAGATATAAGACTCGTCTATATTTCGGTTTAGAATCGGAGTATCTGGGTTACGTTATGCTATGGCTTGTGTCCAAAACTCAGCTCACTATCTGAGTTGTCTCCCTTGTGTACTGCAGGCGACGGCATCGTGGACTTGGACGAGTTCCTAGACGCCGCCATCATGGCACAAGCCCAGAAGGAACATCGTAAGATATTTCCATAGGTCTAATTCTGATCACAAGCTATAAAACCAGCACCTTGTCATAAATCACAACTTTCAACTACACTTTGCTAATACGGAACCAGGTCAGCAAGTAATATATACTTGCTGTCTTTCGAATTTATGTTTCTTTGGTGTGTTTTTATGTGTTTCTACTATGGAATCTGTTCACCCACAGGGTTAGAGTTGGGTTAGGGGCGAACATATTCTATAGGGGCTCCTGGGTAGGGTTAGAATTAGATTAGGGGCAAACATATTCTATAGGGTCTCCTGGGTAGGGTTAGAATTAGGTTAGGGGCGAACATATTCTATAGGGTCTCCTGGGTAGGGTTAGAATTAGATTAGGGGCAAACATATTCTATAGGGTCTCCTGGGTAGGGTTAGAATTAGGTTAGGGGCGAACATATTCTATAGGGTCTCCTGGGTAGGGTTAGAATTAGATTAGGGGCAAACATATTCTATAGGGTCTACGGGTTAGGGTTTGAATTAGATTAGGGGCAAACATATTCTATAGGGGCTCCGGGTTAGGGTTGAAAGTTAGGCTAAGGCCGAATATATTGTACAAGGCTCCTGATTAACTATAAACCCTCTAAATGTTCAACTGAAAGGGTAACAGATGTTTCGAATTATCATCTGTGGAAGAATATGCAATATTACTTCTTTTGTCTGTTTCAGTTGATTGAGGACCGGAACACATTTAACATCCATCTGTATCAACGCACACGCCAATATTCAATAAACTCTCTTTCCGTTTAATGTCAACTCTCGTTGTTGTGTTTTATACAGTACAGTTTACATCGCTTCTGTCAAACCTGTAGTTGTGGGGCGCTATGTGTGTTCTCATCACGGTCTGGCGTCTTAGGTCCTAACATTGCCTCAGGGTCGTCCTTTTGCTGGTGAAGTTACATTTACCGAAAAGACGACAAAGAAGGAAATTCACACAAAATACCGTCTGGAGATTAGAACGGGGCGAACACACAAACAACCAGTCTCAACCTATATCCGAATGGTGTTTGATTAACACCTGCTTTCTAATGGTGTATTCATGAGGAGCGAACACATATTTTAGCACACAGTGTAGCCAAACCTACAGACATTGGGTCAACACAGGGAAAGATATTCCTTTACGCCATAGTCGGTCCTGTTACAGCCATATTGCAGGCCTGGAAATAGTCGAATCTGGAGTGAACAATTAAACCGGTGATTGATATCACGAGCGCCGTCCAATGACATTTCGGGACACTCATTAAAAACATCGTAGCTTGGAATTGCCACACGATCCATTAGTTGCCGTGTATAAACATCGGTTACTGGGTACATATTCGAACCAAACGCGCTCACGCTGTGTACCTTTGGCATTGAAGTTGTAAGTTCGGGGTAAGGGTTACAGTTAAGGGCCTAACCTTAATACGGCCGCGCCCGAAGTGTACTTTGTGTTTTGAGCAGCGCTATGAGAGTTCTGTTTCAGTTGTCTGATTCCGCTTTAGTTTTTACTGCAACTAGAGAAATCTGGTCTTAAACGGGAGTAGCCGGTGGATGTGCACTGACATTTCCATCCTAGTACGGGCGTTAGGAGGCACATGTCGCTCACTGAGAACTTGTCTTTTGTACTATGTGTCGCTTGTGCTTGCCCGCGTGGAGGCTTGTATGTTGGTTTGTAACATATGTTATATTTGGGATGACACTTTCTCAGTAAAGTACAGATTCTAGTACTTTTGTTGGGTTGAGCCCCATCCGGGATTCGAACCCACACCCTCAGAGTCAGGCACCTAATCGCCAGCACACAAAGTCCGCCACCAGCTCAGCCACCGCGGCTTTTCTATATGTAAATAATCCTGTCTGGTTCTCGTGTAGAAGTAAAGTTTGCGAGGCTTTTCTCAGAAATGTTAGCACAATCATGTACAAGTTTTCATTCCCACTTGCATGAGTTGATGCATGTGTTCCAACCCTTGGTGACAATAATTATAATAGTAACAATAATAATAGCAATAACATTTTCAGTTTAGTTTACTAAATTTAATTCATTGATTAGTTAATATATTTTAACATATGTTATATTTGGGATTACACTTTCTTAGTACAAAATTAGAGTACTTTTCTGAGTTGAGCCCCATCCGGGATTTTAACATTTAAATGTATATTGCACTCGAATCCAGGACAAAATCCACCCGTCAACATCTTGCCACATTTCAACAACGCAAACAACAACTTTTAACAATAGCAATTTGAGAAGGATGGATTTTGTCCATTTTTTTGTTAATAAGAGGTGGATTTTGTCCAGGGTGGCAATTTTGGGGTGGATTTTGTCCGTGTGGATTTTGTCCGGTCACCATTGCACTCACACCCTCACACCCTCAGAGTCAGGCACCTAATCGCCAGCACACAAAGTCAGCCGCTTAACCCGCTCAGCTACCGCGACTTCCACAAAAATGGAAGTCGGACAACTGGTAGTCTAGACTGCGGGCTTTGTGTACCCCTCTGATAGGTGTCAATTGGCACGGCTCCCACGACCGAAAGCTATGATTACACAATATGCCATTTAGAAAGTGGTCAAATGTAACATATGCTATATTTGGGATTACACTTTCTTAGTAAAGTACAAATTCTGGTACTTTTTTTAGTTGAGCCCCATCCGGGATTTTAAAATTTAAATGTATATTGCATATTTCTGCACACCTTTGAAGTGATTGTTGGTCCACAGAGACTACTAAACATGGACATTCATGGCTTTCTGTAAGACTACTTTATCATCTCGTCTCTGCACTTCTACATTACAGGCAAACGCTGACAAAGAAACGCGTCAAATTCACTTTGGAAGGTATTAGTATTAGCACAAACACATACATCTGTTTACACAAATAATCATACCTCTACATATTACCCAACTACCTGATACCTTAGGACGCAACCCTGCAGTGCAAAAGACGCGTCTCACACAAAATGTTGGATATAATATATATTCATAATCAATTCTGATAAAATTTAGAAATATTTGCATCGAGGTCAGTCAACATGTCAATCACTCTTTCAACGACTTGGGAGAAAACGTCGATGAGATTTTACCCGGATAAATTATCCGGATTTTAGTGAGATCACGCGAGATTTCGCGAGAGACGTTTATTCGGACACTTCCGGTGGAAGAAGCATTGCTTTTCTTCAAGTGTTTTGTTTGTATAAGTGAAGGTACCAACACAATTTCAAGATGCCGCGTATTATGATCAAGGGTGGCGTTTGGAGGAACACAGAGGTAGGATATTACTGTGACTACTTTGAACCTTTGTAAACGAAATTGTGCATTTGTTGACTGCAGTGCAAGGCCTCGGGTGATTTAGTGACACACTCAGTCTCGTACGGAAAACGTTTCAGTAGACTTTTTCAGATAATGAATGGTGTACCAAGGACAAATTATTATGATTATTAAACAGATATCAGGTATGATGATAACTGATCGTTGCATTGTCCAGGAAGTCGCGTTCATTCTGCAATTATTAATTACTGAGCACCATTACAGAGTAAAATGTAGGAAAGAGTTCCTTCCGTTCCCCCAACCCTAAACCTAACTCTAAACCTAACCTAATGCTAAAGCTGTGTTCACCGTCTTCAAATGATCATTACATGTTAGAGGCATAGAATATTAACATTTGGAAATCGTAACAAACATTGATGAGTACAGTGTTTGGGTTATTAAGTGTTAATCAGTGCTGAATCAGGGGCGGTGGGGTAGTCTAGTGGTTAAAGCGTTGGCTCGTCACGCCGAAGACACGGGTTCGAATCCCCACATGGGTACAACGTGTGAAGCCCATTTCTGGTGTCCCCCGCCGTGATGTTGCTGGAATATTGCTGGAATATTGCTAAAAGCGGCGTAAAGCCAGACTCAGTCAGTCAGTGCTGAATCAATTTATAATACTCACAACACTGTGGTGTCAGAGCATTTGAGATTTCTGGTTGTCAATCCAGGACATGCTGGCTGTTTACTTATACAAATCAGGAACCAGGAACTCCACATTTTGTAAACTATTTCATTTTTTTATGATTGTTCCATCTACTGTAAATTTGAAGTTTGCAACTGCATTCCTTGATAATTCTTTTTGGTGGAACATAAAAACAAACTCAGTTGGGATGAAAATAACACATAAGTCTCCAAAAAGACTTCCACTAAGTTCCAGAAATCACTTGATGCACAATGTATTTTATGAATAAATTTCCATCGTTTGATTCAGTGTTGTCCAAAATATTACGTAGGATCTATTCCTTATCAATGTTAAAATTTTGAAATATGGTTTAAATGAATATACTCAGAGTCAGACTCTCCATTATCACGGCATTTGAAAACATCGGGAAAGCAGAAGCGCCACACCCCATATTGGCTGTTTGCATGTGCAAATTATGTGAACAAATTCATCGCTCTAGTAAAAGTGATTTATTTCAGTGGAATGTCACATCTAATGGTAGGTATAGTAAAGTATTCATCTTTGCAGTAACATAATTTGTATACTAGTTTGACCCTGTCACCATTGCATCTTGCACAAATGAAATCTTACTTCATCAAGAGTAATCCTGCGACAACTATGAGGCCACCTGTATATTTACCACCCTAAAACTATAACACCCTATTTTTCCCAACAGGATGAAATTCTCAAGGCAGCTGTCATGAAATATGGCAAAAACCAGTGGGCTAGAATTGCATCTCTCCTGCACAGGAAGTCTGCAAAACAGTGCAAGGCTCGATGGTTTGTGTTTTCTGAACATGCTATAACTATGTAACATATTTCAATTGCTGTTGTCATATTGATAATGTCCCTGTTGCAGTTCCTGATGTAAAAACGCATTTGATAGCTATAACTGAGTGTTGAATCATCTGACATGTCTAAAATTTAAAGTTTAGTTAACCAGTGAGTACATTCAGAGGTGTATCCTGGGACAGAATCGAACCGTATCCTCCTAGACAATAATAATCTATATCTGCATTTGTCATAACCTATGTTCTGGTACTTTAGGTACGAGTGGCTGGACCCCAGCATCAAGAAGACAGAATGGAGTCGGGAGGAGGAGGAGAAGCTCCTCCATCTGGCCAAGCTGATGCCCACTCAGTGGAGAACCATCGCACCCATCATCGGCAGAACTGCTGCTCAGTGTCTCGAACACTATGAGTTTCTCTTGTGAGTACTAATGGCAAAAGTTTACACAGCCATTTGTCAAAGTGAGAATTAATTGTTTCTCCTAAAATTTAGAATCTCTGTTCCCTCTTTCAAAATGATTAAATTTTACTCTTGATCATTATCATCGGTTTGTGTGTGCTACATTCTTCCATGAAGTTCCTCCCCAATGTATTAAATATGTGCTGACTTTGTTATTGCTACCAGTGAAGTCTATTGATGTGTTTCCACTCCAGGGACAAAGCACAGAACAGAGATGATTCTGAGGACGATCCGAGAAAACTAAAACCAGGAGAAATTGATCCCAACCCTGAAACGAAACCGGCGCGACCTGATCCAGTGGACATGGATGAAGATGGTGAGTTTTGAAGTGGGTCAGAACACTCCTCTCACCACTTCACCCCAAATCCCTTCCTGCTGAAAGCTTAGATATGATCCCAGGGTTGACTTTTGTGAGTCTTATTTGGAATGTCAGTTTATGCCAAAGTCTCTTCAGAAGAACCATTTTTTTACAAGCAAAGGAATGTCAACTTTGGACGCTAAGGTTGATGTAAGAAAATGAGACTCATTTAAAGGGATTGGTACACTCTGGTGTCAAGGAAAAAACATCTGTTGTTGGGAAGTCTCACTGAGACAGCAGATCTGATGGTTTAATTGCCTGTTTCAGAACTGGAGATGTTGTCAGAGGCCCGAGCCAGGCTGGCCAACACTCAGGGAAAGAAGGCCAAGCGGAAAGCCAGGGAGAAGCAGCTGGAGGAAGCCAGGTACGTGTGACACACATGACAGAACTATACCATCTTGTCTGTTTCCTTCTCTTCATTACAGGGCGGTGGGGTAGCCTAGTGGTTAAGGCGTTCGCTCGTCACACCGAAGGCCCGGGTTCGATTCCCCACATGGGCACAATGTGTGAAGCCCATTTCTGGTGTCCCACGCCGTGATATTGCTGGAATATTGCTAAAAGCGGCGTAAAAACTAAACTCACTCACTCACTCTTCATTACAGGGGAGACAACTCCTCTATCTGAGCATCATTAAGACACATAGACATCTCACCCTCATGGTATACAACTGTCATAAATGGTGGTTATAGTGTTGAAAGTTCTGAATGAAAGTAAGAGGCTTTTGTTGTCACCCAAAGTTAATGTTTAATGGAGTAGATCAAAGTATTACCTGTATATTTAGCAAAAATGTCCCCAGACTCAACATGATCAGCACCATATCTTTGAATGACATAGGTTCGGATTTGTTCATGTTTGTTCAGGAAAGCCATTACAATTGGTTGTTCTGTTTTAGGAGATTAGCAGCACTACAGAAGAGGAGGGAGCTCAGGGCAGCTGGCATCGAGTGAGTCACGATAGTCATACTGTGTCCGTGAAGTCTAAGCTAATTATTGAGAAGCACATTGTTTGTGAAAGTAGAACAAAGTTACCATGTGTACCTCATTTTATTATTATTGGGGACTATGGTAACACAACTATATCAGTTTGAAAACTGTTAATATCGTAACGTTGTAGATAGTCTGATTGAAAAGTTCAACATTTGACTGTGTATGAGTGTTAGAAGATGTCGTGCTGCCCCAGGTGAGAATCAGCAACATCTGTGTGTATGTTTCAGTGCGAAGCAGAAGAAGAGGAAGAAGAGAGGCGTGGACTACAATGCTGAGATTCCATTTGAGAAGAAACCAGCACCTGGTAACACCCTCTTGTCACCATAGGCAGTTCTTACCCCTAAACATAAATGGTGGTATTACTGTAGGGGCCATCACAAAAGCCTAAATCTTATATGTCATTACCTGTATTTCCAGAATGCTGTAGGTGAGGTAAACCTTGTTGTCCCAACCAAGCAGGTAGTATTTCATGTCACTTAACATAGCTTTGTCCAACTAAACATCAGCTGTATTGTTCAGGTTTCTACAACACGTCGGAGGAGCACTACAATCCCCTGGACCCCAACTACAAGAAGCTGCGGCAGCAGAACCTGGATGGGGAACTCCGCAGCACCAAGGAGGAGGTGGGGGACTCTTCACTTGTTTTTCAATAATTCAAACAGCAAGATTTGACTTCCATTTCCTGAGAAAATAGTTAAAAACCTTATTAGGGACTGTTCAGAATTTATGGCTAGTGGGGGTGATGATGATTTTCATGGAGAAGCGTGTACAATGTGAATCACACACACACATAAACACACACACCCCACCCTTAAAATCATCATCACACCATCACACACACTCTTGGTGAGCCAGGATTTCTATGTACAAGTATACTTGACTTCATGACAAAGTATGGACTTGCTCCCCTTTTACAGAAATACCAACATAGTTTCCCTAGTTAATGATTTGATCTACCGAAATTATTTTTTAATATTTAAAATGTTTTAAAATCTTTCAACCTTGCAAAGGTATTAAATTTCACAAACCATAACAAATAATGAAGTATGACCAAACGTTTTTAATGTACTGTGGATACAGACCTTCAATGAGTTTTGCTAACTGTGGGTCAGTGTCTGTAGTATTGGATTCCTAACTGAGCCGAGTGTTGGTCAGGGAAGGCTTTAGTATGTGCACTTACACTATCTGTTCCTTCACTTTAGAGAGATAGAAAGAAGGACAAACAGAGACAGAAGAAGAGGAAGGAGAATGACCTTCCTGGAGCCATCGCTGCCCAGACAAAGTAAGTGGGCAGGGTTTCAGGTTATCAGGTGTCATTCATATTATAGGTATCAGGGTGACAGTAATTAGTAGATGTTCAGCTGTTATAGGGCAGCAGCTGTGTCACTTAGGAGAGTTTCACTTTTTGATACAGGACATCGCTATTCGAATCAGTACGATGTAGATGTAGTAACTGATGTCACAGTGGTCTGCAGGGCATTGTATTGGAGTTGCATTGAAGCTACAATTGCGTAGATTGATGCTCATGATATTGATCACTGCATTGTCTGGTCCAGACTCGAATATTTACAGACCACTGCAATACAGCTGAATTCTTTTTCAGAAGAAGTCCTCCTTGGGGTACATGAAAGCATTAAAATGTCCATTTTAAAATACCTGCGACAGTTGTAACAATATTTCAATAAAATATTTTACCAAACAAAAAACTCGTTATGTTTAGTGAGACCACCCCTATAGGGCCACTCACAGGGCCCCCTACAGCCAAGAGCAGGTAACTGACTGCTTACCTCATACCTCACTTTTCATGCTGTCGTTGACTATATTTTTTCTGTATTATTGTGTGCATATTACATTATGTCAAACAGTCCTTGCTATTAGTCATAGCGCGGTTCTGTTTTTGCAGCCCAAGGGGTGTGTTACCTGTAGCGCTACATTATTGTCTCAGGATCGACACCCGATATGTTTGCGTTGTTTGGCGGAGGAAGCCCATGATGAGCAGGGTTGTGCCATGTGTCAGGCATTTTCCCCTCATTCTATCAAGTCGGGACGTGCGGACATGATGTTTTACACGTCTTTACTTCAGACGAGGGGGGGTGGGGGGCATTTGGGGACAGGAGCCTCCTAAGGATAAGGATAAAAAGCCTAAGAAAAAGAAGGCTTTTTCTACGTCTCGGTTGCGGGCCACCCCTCCACTACGGTGACTACCACCAGTCCGAGCCTCGGCTCTGGGTCGGTAGTTGGTGCCGGTTTTACAGGCTCTGTCCCTGTAGTCTCCGCTACCTCCTCACATTTGGTCCCACCGCTTGCACCGGCTTTGCCGGTGTCAGGGTCGGGGCCCATATGCTTGCCGTTGGTGAATCCCGTGTCGGGCTCTTCCTCGTCTCGCCACCGTGACTCAGTTTCGAGTCTTGAGTCGGGCGTGCCGGGCAACTCGTCTCTGCTCGAGCCTCTGTCACTCTCCCTAGACCCCTCGGATGAACCCTCGGAGCTTTCCCTAGATACAGAGACTTCTGCTCCAGGAGGATCGGTTCGAGGAGGCTATGGAGGAGGATGAGGGTCGGGGAGGGTTGGGTACACCTTCTGTTTCGCTCGGTGCATCCCTGAAACAGGTGCGGGAGCGTATTGCCTCTGTTCTGCCTCAGGTGGTTGTCAGTGCTGGCGCACTCAACCCTCAAGAGTTTCGCCTCCCCGGGGAGACTTTTGCTCCTACTAAGGTGGCGGACACTCGACTTCGCATTTTGCCTTCAGTTTTAACTGAGGTTATAAACCCACTCCTCTGTGGTGCCAGATCCAGAGTCGACTTGCCCGAGCTGGACCGTCGGTACCTCATGGGTGAGGCTGGCCTATATAATACCCCAGTGGTAAACGATTGTGTCTATGCGTCAGTTGCACTGGGGGGTTCGTCTGGTAACTCACTGGCTTCCGCCGTTCACAGCCAACGCCACGGCACTTAAGTCCGCCTATCGCTCCTTTGAGGAGCAGTACCGGAACGCGGTCCAGTGCCTCAAAGTTACTATACATTCCGCCTACATCTCGGTGTTGCAGAGGGAACTACTGGATGTGGGTGGGGTCGAGGAACATTTGTCTCCCTCCACCTTGGCAAAACAATTGACAGAGGTCCAGTTACATCTGGCGTGCGACTCTATCAGGTCGTCGGCCTGCCAAATGATGTCGGCGGTTATGGGCCTCCGTCGCCTGTGGCTTTCTATGGCGAGGTACTCTCCTGCCACACAACAGGCTCTACTGGCACTGCCGTTGCGGATGGTTTCTACGCTGTTCCCCGGGGCAGCTACAGTAGTCCGGGAGGCCGCGGAGGCTGTATCAACCTTCAAGGACTCTAAGCCCTTGTTGGAACAGCTTCACATGTCTCGCGCGCGACCCCAGTACTTACCTCTGCATACCCTTCTGCCTCGGCAAAGGAATCTGTTAAATGGGCTCAGCCATTACAGTCGCGGAGGGGTAAGGGCAGAGGCAAGGACAAGGCCACAGCGCCCCACCAGCATTTTCAGAGGAAGGGTAAGTGAGCCCCGGCTTCCTAGCAATAATTCCTCCGGAGCCCTTGTTGGTACCAGATCAAGCAGTCGGAGTACTGCCGACGTCTGGTATCTATTGCCTCATGCCACATATCCCTGTGGGTGGTCGACTTTCTCTCTTCCTGTCGGAATGGGAAAAGGTCACTTCCAATCCCTGGGTCCTGTCCACGCTCAGGGAGGGCCACATGCCACAGTGGAGGCGAGACCCACCCCCCTTCTCCGGGATCCGTTGCACTCCAGTGCCGGCTGCCCTAGAGAAGGCAGAGGTGCTCTGTCCCGAGGTCCAGTCATTACTGGACAAGGCAGCCATAGAGGTGGTTCCAGCGGGACAGGAAATGGCGGGTTATTACTCGACCTATTTCCTTGTCACCAAAAAGGACGGAGGGTTCAGACCTATTTTAAACCTCAAAGGTCTGAACGACATGATAGAAGTACCATCCTTCAAGATGGAGACACTGCGTTCAGTGATCTCATCTGTGGAGAAGGGAGATTGGCTCACGTCAATCGACCTCAAAGACGCATACTTCCATGTCCCAATGCACCCCAAGTTCAGGAAATACCTAAGGTTTTCCTTCGACGGGAGGTGCTATCACTTTCATGTGCTCCCCTTCGGCATCTCCACGGCGCCACAGGTGTTCACCAAACTCATGCTAATTCCAGCGCAGGTAGCCAGGTCTCAGGGCAGGTGCTGTCACCCGTACCTAGACGATTGGCTCCTTCGTGCGCTTGCGCTTGCCACTCACTTTTTATCAATCTCAAGAAATCAGAACTGGTTCCCACCCAGGATCTGGTTTTCTTGGGAGCGAGATTCGAGACAGTGCGAGGGGTAGCCTCCCTGTCTCCGGACGTCACCAAAGTCCAGAGAGTTGTGTTACAATTTCTCGAGTCCCCCAGGGCCTCAGCTCGGACATGGCTCCAGTTGCTAGGCAACATGGCAGCAACGGTGGACATTGTTTGGCGAAAGCGGTTGAGGATGCGCCCCATACAGCAAGCTCTAGCTCGAATGTGGGTCCACACCCGGGGTTACGAGTTGATTCTCCACATTCCGGGGTGGCTAATTCCTCATTTACGGTGGTGGACAATGGCAGGGAATTTATCCAGGGGGTTCCCCTTGGACATCCCGTCGCCAGATCTCTCTCGATTCAGACAGACGCCTCCCTCACAGGGTGGGGTGTGTGCTGGGTGACCTGTCAGTCTCAGGCCTGTGGTCACAGAGCGAGGCGCAACTGCACATCAATGTGCTAGAATTGAGAGCAGTCAGGTTAGTGTTCAAACGGCTTCGGAGCAGGTTCGAGGTCGTGTGGTTCGTCTAGAGATGGACAACAAGACGGCGATGACCTATATCCAGAAGCAGGGCTGTACGGTTTCCCTGTCTCTCCTGCAGTTTCTGCTCTGGTGCGACCAGTTCGACATACGGGTGATGCCTGTTTATCTCCCAGAGGCGGACAACGTTCGAGCAGCCACTTCTCTCGCCATATCCTGGCCCCGCACAAGTGGATGCTCAATCGGGAGATATTCGGGACTATCTCCCAGTTGTTTGGGTCGTTCCAGGTGGATCTGTTTGCTTCTGGGGGGACGAACCAGATTCCGGTGTTTTGCTCTCGGATACCGGATCCGAGCCATCGCCTTGGACGCTTTCCTGCTCGACTGGGCGGGCAGGGTTCTGTGGGCGTTCCCGCCACTACCCCTGATTCCCAAAGTCCTCTCGCAGCTTGCTACCCAACCAGCTCGACTTCTTGTGCTCCTTGCACCTCTTTGGTTTCCAGTACTACTCAGGTTTCTGGCTCAGCCTCCTGTACTATTACCCTTTCAACCGGACTTACTATCCCAGAACGGAGCGCCGCACCCGAATCCCAGGGATGGCCTGGCCACTGTCCGGAATCGCCTCCAAGCAAGCGGAATTCCTGCACCAGTTGCAGACACAATTCTGGCTTCGCGGAGGGATTCGACAAACGTTCAATATAAGGATAGATGGGCCTGTTATACGCGCTGGTGTGTCGGCAGAGGGATTCTTGATCCCTTTTCTCAACTGTAGTTGAAGTAGTGGAGTTCTTACAGTCTCGGTTAGAGGCCGGCGTCTACTATCCGGGGCTACTCCACGGCAATCTCTGCCTTCCATGTACCTGCTGATGGTGCTCTCTTGGGGCAGCACCCTCTGGTGCAGCGCTTTTTAGCAGGCGTGGACAGAATCCGTCCGACTGTCCGGCGGATTAGCCCCCCACGGGACTTGTCAATCGTTCTTGATTGGATGTCCGGTCCTCTCTTTCACGATCTGTCGTCTTTCACTCCAACTGTTAAGTTGGAAGGCTGCCTTTCTTGTGGCGGTCACGTCTGGCCGGCGGATAGGCGATATCCATGCGATGTCAGCGGATCCTGCTCTGACTGTCTTTCACAAAGACAGAGTCAGTATTCGGTTGCCAGACTCTTACCGTCCTAAGATCACAGGCACCTTTCATATAACGGTGCCTATTGAACTGCCAGCTTTCACTCAGCGTCCATCGTTCGGTACCTCTCTTCGACGTGCTCACGTCTTAGATGTCCGTAAGACTCTCAAGGCTTATATCAAATGAACGGCTGCTCTCAGGAAAGATAAGCAGCTGTTCTGTTGTTATGGCGGTGGTAAGGCTGGTCTTCCGGCGAACAAGCCGACCATATCTGGGTGGCTTGTCTCTGCCATTTGTATGAGTTACTCTCACAAAGGGTTAACTATCCCTCAGGGGTTAAAGGCTCATTTGATTAGTGCAGTGACGACATCGAAGGCATATGCCGGGGCACTGACCATTGAGGAGATCTGCTCAGCGGCTATCTGGAGCCGACCGAGTACGTTCATCAGCCATTATCAACTAGACAAACACTCACGGGAGCGTGCTCGGTTTGGCCAGACAGTTCTCACCAGTGGGCAGTGTCGTGATACTCTAGCCGAATGAGCCTTCGAAATCACGATTGTTTTTATGCTGGGTCGGTCTTATAAAATTTCACAATTTTTATCAGTGTGCTTTCGACTGAACTAGGAAGTATGTTAGCCAGACAGAATACCACTCCAGACTCGACATCGTTGGGAGTCTGTCTTATGCTTATATGTACCCCAAGGAGGACTTCTTCTGAAAAAGAATTGTACAAACCTGTAGAGGTTATGCATTCTTTGAAGAAAAGTCCGCCTTGGGGTACGGCTGCCCACCTCCCCTCATTCTGTTTGACACGTTCAGCATGTAAAGTGAGGTAAGAGGTAAGCAGCCAGAGTTACCTGGTCTTGGCTGTAGGGGGCCCTGTGAGGGGCCCTATAGGGGTGGTCTCACTAAACATAACAAGTGTTTTGTTTGGTAAAATATTTTATTGAAATATTGTTACAACTGTCGTAGGTATTTTAAAATGGACATTTTAATGCTTATATGTACCCCAAGGAGGACTTTTCTTCAAAGAATTCATAACCTCTACAGGTTTGTACAAATTGTGCTGTGAGTGGTGTTAAACAACAACAAACAAACAAACATTGAAGCTATGTCTGTTCTCATGTGTTGTTGTTTAGTGAGATACAGCCAATGATAACATTGTATAATTATTCCAGTTTCACAGAGCCTGTCAAGAAGAGGAGCAAGCTGGTGCTTCCCGCACCACAGATCTCAGATGCCGAACTTGAAGAGGTCAGTGGGTTTTGTCAATAAATTTATTTGAATTTCAGCTGTGTAGCTGAACTCGCACTGTATGTTGAGTAGTGTAATGATTTCAAATCAGATTTGAAATTACTGAGACAATTCTGTCCAATCGTGGTGGGCCAATGGTTAATGTGTTCATCTGTCCAGTGTACTAGGTGGGTTTGATTCTGTGTGAAGATGGTGAGGGTGGGCCAATGGTTAATGTGTTCATGTCCAGTGTACAAGATGGGTTTGATTCTGTGTACAGGTGGTGAAGGTAGGTCAATGGTTAATGTGCTCATGTCCAGTGTACAAGATGGGTTTGATTCTGTGTACAGGTGGTGAAGGTGGGCCAGGCGAGTGAGTATGCCCGGCAGCAGGCGGAGGATGCGTCACGGGGGGATACTGCCTCCAAGGGACTGCTACAGGACTACAACGCTACTCCTAACGCTGTCAATCTCCGGACTCCTCGCACACCCGCTGCACAAGACACAATATTACAGGTAAGTGAACAAACAACTAAAGCATATTTGTGCAGCAGTGACCTGAAGTGATTTTAGCATTAAATCTGTTGTCTTCCTGAACATTGTCTTCCGATGCCCTTAATGTTGTAATCAATTTGTGAAAAAGAAATCAGAGATTTTTCCTTCATTTTACAGATGCACTTTTCATTTGAAAACATTTCTTGGCTATGACAGTAGTGTCACTTACAGTTCAATTCTGCAGCAGTTATGTTATATCAATCAAAACAGCATTCACAGGAGCTCCTTCTCTCACTCACCCCATCTCACTCACTCACCCCAGTTGGACATCAAACAGCATTCATGCGAGCTCCTTCTATCATTCACCCTATCTCCCACTCTCACTCACCCCATCTCACCTCAACTCACCTCAACTCACTCACCCCAGCTGGACATCAAACAGCATTCACGCAAGCTCCTTATCTCACTCACCTATGTCCCTCTCTCACGCAGCCTGTCTCCATTTCTTCCACGATGCCATCAAGTCATCGATATTGTGTGTTGCTGTATTGCAGGAAGCCCAGAATATCATGGCGCTGACTAATGTGGACACTCCACTCAAGGGGGGACTCAACACCCCCATACACAACAGTGACTTCAGCGGGATCACCCCCAAACACCAGACCTCCCAGACACCCAACACCGTCCTGGGCACACCCTTCAGAACACCAGGACAGGTTGGGGAAGGAGGTAAGTGCTGCGGGGAGTCTCTAGTACTCTGAATATACCTCTCATACGGAATATATCCCCTGTACTCCACCCATGGGGAATATATACCCTGTACTCCAGCCATGGGGAATATATACCCTGTACTCCATCCATGGGGAATATATCCCCTGTACTCCACCCATGGGGAATATATACCCTGTACTCCATCCATGGGGAATATATACCCTGTACTCCATCCATGGGGAATATATCCCCTGTACTCCACCCATGGGGAATATATACCCTGTACTCCAGCCATGGGGAATATATACCCTGTACTCCACCCATGGGGAATATATACCCTGTACTCCACCCATGGGGAATATATCCCCTGTACTCCACCCATGGGGAATATATACCCTGTACTCCACCCATGGGGAATATATACCCTGTACTCCACCCATGGGGAATATATCCCTGTACTCCACCCATGGGGAATATATACCCTGTACTCCACCCATGGGGAATATATCCCTGTACTCCATCCATGGGAATATATCCCTGTACTCCACCCATGGGGAATATATCCCTGTACTCCACCCATGGGGAATATGTACTCACCCTGTATCCCATACTGAATACTCCACCCATGGGGAATATATCTCCTGTACTCCACCCATGGGAATATATCCCCTGTGCTACTCCACCCATGGGGAATATATCTCCTGTACTCCACCCATGGAATATATCTCCTGTACTCCACCCATGGGAATATATCCCTGTACTCCACCCATGGGGAATATATCCCTGTACTCCACCCATGGGGAATATCCCCTGTACTCCACCCATGGGAATATACCCATGGGGAATACTCCACCCATGGGGAATATATACCCTGTACTCCACCCATGGGGAATATATCCCCTGTATTCCATCCATGGGAATATATCCCCTGTACTCCACCCATGGGGAATATATCCCTGTACTCCACCCATGGGGGAATATATCCCTGTACTCCACCCATGGGAATATATACCCTGTACTCCACCCATGGGGGATATATATCCCTGTACTCCACCCATGGGAATATATACCCTGTACTCCACCCATGGGGAATATATCTCCTGTACTCCACCCATGGGGAATATATACCCTGTACTCCACCCATGGGGAATATATCTCCTGTACTCCACCCATGGGGAATATATCTCCTGTACTCCACCCATGGGGAATATATACCCTGTACTCCACCCATGGGGAATATATCCCCTGTACTCCACCCATGGGGAATATATACCCTGTACTCCACCCATGGGGAATATATCCCCTGTACTCCACCCATGGGGAATATATACCCTGTACTCCACCCATGGGGAATATATCTCCTGTACTCCACCCATGGGGAATATATACCCTGTACTCCACCCATGGGGAATATATACCCTGTACTCCACCCATGGGGAATATATCCCCTGTACTCCACCTGTGTGATATTGAATGTGTATTTATTCCACCGCCTACCTTTAATAATACTGTATAATTCCTATGGTCAGGTATCACCCCAAGGACTGGCTTGACCCCCCGTGGAACCCCTCAAGGCACCCCGATGAGGGACAGACTGAACATCAATCAGCTTGACGAGGAAGAAGCAGCGCAGTATGACAAATTCTACCAGGTACTGACACATTTACTGTCATGAATACGTATAGCTGGCAAACTCAAAACTAGAATGAAACCAGTGTTTCTAGAACAGTCAATATTGCTTGAAGGTGTGTCAGGTTCCCAGCACCAGGTCTGTCCCATGGCTTGACTGGACATTGGATTTGGTTGTCACTTAACAGAGGGTGTGGTTTGTCATTCATGCTGTCAACCATTAGAGTGCACGGTGCAAACTGTCGCTGGTTCAGCACCGATGAACTCTGCATGATACAGGCTCTGATGGACACATGGCAGAATCTGACATCATCACTCTCTCACTCATGTCATGAGTGTCCGGGTTAGAACTGGTAGTAACGGAAAAGGGTGGTCAGACTCACTGCTTGTCATATCTCAGCTGTGTAGATCAATGCTCAAAATACAGCTCACTGGATTGTGTGTTATGGACTTCATTATTTACTGTCGTCCCTCTTCTGGTTGAATAATTGCTGAGTGTGCCATTAAACAGCAAGCAAAAGCAAAACAAACACTATTGATGACAAGACTTTAACCAGTACCAACAACTGAAACATTATGTTCCGCTTCAGAGAGATATGAAGGAACAGTTGAGACGGGGCCTGGCTGGACTACCGGCACCAAAGAACGACTATGAGATTGTTGTCCCAGAAGATGAGCTGCAGGGCAGCGAGGAAACATCGGCTATAGACAACCACATCGAGGACCAAGCAGACATCGACAACGCAACCGAACTGGAGATTCAGCAGCGCCGTCTGGAGGAACTCAAGCTGAGGTCACAGTCTGTGCAGAGAGACCTTCCAAGACCCACTGATGTCAATTCCAGTATACTGAGGGTTGTTGGACCAGGAGATCCACCTCTTAGTGAACTGCAGAAGGTGGGTGGCATACCTTAATTATCACCATGAATGTATTTACTGTCCTGACATCCAGCTTTCTGACTGGTCTGCTACTCTGCCAGAGGTATTAAATCTTCTCAGCCAGAGGTATTAAATCTTCTCAGCCAGAGGTATTGAATCTACTTTGTGAAGTTTTGACCAAATTATGTAAAAAAATCTGTGCAGAAATCTTTGAATAATCAGTGTATAAATCATAAGACATGTTCAAATGGCCCGGACCTTTACTATCTTACACATCCAAGTTTTGGACTTGTTAACAATTGTATAACACAAAGTCACTGACTCTACCCCAGGCCGAGGAACTGATCAAACGTGAGATGATCACTATGCTGCACTACGACGCTGTCTACAGCCCCACCCTGGCACAGCTGGGCATCACCCCTGGGTCCAAGAAGCCTGTGCCCAGCCAGAAGAGTATCGTGAACCAGGCCCAGCATCTGGCTTTCCTGGAACAGCATTCTTACGACACATTCTCTGAGGAGGATCTGCATGACGTGAGTGTCTGCTGGATGAGACCTCCATGCTCTTGTAAACCATGTTCTGTCTAACGTGTGCCAGTTGCAGTTTCCTCCGTCACATATCAGCCTCTGTCTGAATACATTCAGATTTGATTTTTGATATTGATTGGTCTCCTGATGATGTTGCATCTTTTTAGGCACGAGCGATGATGAAACAGGAAATGGAGGTTGTGAAGGACGGGATGGGCCATGGCGAGCTGTCCCTTGAGGCGTTCTCCCAAGTGTGGGACGAGTGCTACTCTCAGGTTCTGTTCCTGCCCTCGCAGGGCCGCTACACCAGGGCTAACCTGGCCAGCAAGAAGGACAGGATCGACTCTCTGGACAAACGCCTGGAGGTGGGTGGGACTTGTAATATCATTAACCCATGGGGCTCGTGGGCCTTGGTACAAGGCTAAACAACAATGGTTGCAGAGAGTAGATGTATTAGTGACAGCTGAGAGTCTCTGTATTTTGTTTTGTTAGATGAAGGACGGTGGGGTAGCCTAGTGGTTAAAGCATTTGCTTGTCACGCCGAAGACCCGGGTTCGATTCCCTACATTGGTACAATGTGTGAAGCCCATTTCTGGTGTCACCCGCCGTGATACTGCTGGAATATTGCTAAAAGCAGCGTAAAACTAAACTCATTCCCTCACTCACTCACTCTGTTAGATGTTTTGTTTCTAGAGGCTTGGTAATAGAAATGTAACCATGTTATTTAATGTTGGTCATTACGATGTGTTAGACTTTTCGTGGAGTCCCGACACAGATCACTGATGTGGCTGTACTACACTAATACTGACAGCACAGGATGACTCTCACACACTCAATAACCCAGACTGTGATATGTTAAACCATATCACCTCTCAGTGTTGTGCTTCAGTATGTATCTACGTGTAACTTTGTCTCCAGGCCAACAGAGGACATATGACAAAAGATGCAAAACAGGCTGCCAAGCTGGAGAAGAAGCTGAAGATATTGCTGGGAGGCTACCAGGTCCGTATAAAACAGGACATATGTTGAAACTGTGCTGGTTGGTTAAACTAAATGGGTTCAACATTTGGGTATTATTATTAATGACTATTTCTTTAATCTTTCATAAACAGAATTTTATGTACGATGAAGTATTAAATGCTATTGTTACTCAGAAGTCTGAGTGATTCAGATCCTGTGAGGATGATAGACTGGGCATAAGAGCAAGGGACCATGTCGTCTCGTACATAGATCAAGGGGACCATGGGGACTCGTACTTAGAATATAGGGAGATGGGGACTCGTACATAGAACAAGGGGACCATAGGTACATAGAACAAGGGGACCATGGGGACTCGTACATACAAGGGTACATAGAACAAGGGGACCATGGGGACTCGTACATAGAACAAGGGGACCATGGGGACTCGTAAGTACATACAAGGGTACATAGAACAAGGGGACCATGGGGACTCGTACATACAACAAGGGGACCATGGGGACTCGTACAGGTACATAGAACAAGGGGACCATGGGGACTTCATTACATACAACAAGGGACCATGGGGACTTCATTACATAGAACAAGGGTACATAGAACAAAGGGACCATGGGGACTCATTACATACAACAAAGGGACCATGGGGACTTCATTACATACAACAAGGGTACATAGAACAAGGGGACCAGAACAAGGGGACCATGGGTAGAACATACATAGAACAAAGGGACCATGGGGACTCATTACATAGAACAAGGGTACATAGAACAAAGGGGACCATGGGGACTCATTACATAGAACAAGGGTACATAGAACAAGGGGACCATGGGGACTGCATTACACAGAACAAGGGTACATAGAACAAAGGGGACCATGGGGACTCATACATAGAACAAAGGGTACATAGAACAAGGGGACCATGGGGACTCGTTACATTAGAACAAGGGTACATAGAACAAAGGGACCATGGGGACTCATTACACAGAACAAGGGTACATAGAACAAGGGGACCATGGGGACTCATACATAGAACAAGGGTACATAGAACAAGGGGACCATGGGGACTCGTACATAGAACAAGGGTACATAGAACAAGGGGACCATGGGGACTCGTACATAGAACAAGGGTACATAGAACAAGGGGACCATGGGGACTCGTACATAGAACAAGGGGACCATGGGGATCATTACATTGAACAAGGGTACATAGAACAAGGGGACCATGGGGACTCATTACATACAACAAAGGGGACCATGGGGACTCGTACATAGAACAAGGGGACCATGGGGACTCGTACATAGAACAAGGGTACATAGAACAAGGGGACCAGCAGTACAAAAGCCCTGACTGTAAATGATCTGTGTTATACGTGTGTTGGGTGATGTGTTGAGGTGAAAGAGCACATGTCGATACCTGTACCTGATGTTGTTGCAGTCACGGTCACAAGCTCTGGTGAAGCAGCTTCACGATGTGTATGAACAGATTGAGCAGACATTTGTTGAGCTGAAAACATTTGAAAACCTCCGTCAACACGAGATTGGAGCCATTCCTAAACGCATGGAGGTAAAGATTCAGTGTATCTGTAGTGTATTTGGCAGCTTTCTTTCCCACGGGACAGCTTAATGATCCACATTGGTGGTGTCTCTGACTTTGTGACTATAAACTCACTCATACTCGCACATATAGCACAAGGAATAGACTCTTTTCTATCAGTAAATGGATTAAGTTATTTATGTACATTATGAAGGCTTTTGTTGGGCAAAGGAAGCCAAGTGGTGGTGCTTTGTTTTTGTCACTTGGTCCCTATGTGGATCAAATGTTTGATGCCCATTTCTGGTGTATCGCTGGAATTTTGCTGAATGTGTTGGAAAACCCAACTCGCTTACTATGGGCATGGCTGGACAATTGGCGATCCATGTTCAGTCACTTGTAATGATACGAGGGGTTTGGCATTAAATTTCTCTCTGCAGATGCATAAGCCATTAGGTGACTGTATGATCAATTGCTGTACTTAATAATGCACCTCTCTGTGCCTCGCAGGATTCTTGCAATAATATGGCATCGGGCTCATTCATGTAGATGGGGGGTTTCTTTTAGTTAAGATACTCAATGATTGTCTCAAACATCTTTTATATCACTTGGCCATTTCATGATTCAAATGGTTCAGTCATAATTGAGTGTGTCAGTTACAACTTATTACAACTAGATGTTGATTATCTGTTTCAGTCCTTGACAGAAGACGTTCAGCGACAGACGGAGAGAGAACGAGAGCTACAGAAACGATATGGTGAACTTCAGCATCGACGAGACATTATCTACTAGTGGCCGGGATGTGTGTGTAGAGTCTTGGCTGGGACATCAGTTACAATGTGTTGTAGCGTCGAAGTGATGCAATTAGATGATAAAGGTCCTTGGGTTTCCAGAAACCTGGGGTCCTGGGTTCGAATTCCAGTTGACATGTATCGTGTTTCTGGGTTTGTCAGCTCCATACAGTTGTCGGTCTCTGAAACTTGGTAAACGTCTGACACCTGCATCACCCACGTCAAGCCAGCACACTGTCATATAACTGAAATATTGTTGAAAGTGGGTTTAGACCCAACTCACTCACTGACTGGACGAGTGCACTGCTGTTACAGCAGACTGGTGGACCAGGCGTATCCTTTCTACTGAATGCAATAAGTGCTGAAGTCAGGAAGCGCCTCTTCATCGTTCTGGACCATGTCCTCCATGCCACCACACCTCGCGGGGAACATGGCAGATGGAGAGCTATAGGCTGCTTCAGTCTGGACCATGTCCCCATGCCACCACACACCTGCTGGGAACATGGCAGATGGGGACCTATAGGCTGCTTCAGTCTGGACCATGTCCTCCATGCCACCACACCTCGCGGGGAACATGGCAGATGGGGAGCTCTAGCCTGCTTCAGTCTGGACCATGTCCTCCATGCCACCACACCTCGCTTGGGAACATGGCAAATGGGGAGCTATAGGCTGCTTCAGTCTGGACCATGTCCTCCATGCCACCACACCTCTTGGGGAACATGGCAGATGGAGAGCTATAGGCTGCTTCAGTCTGGACCATGTCCTCCATGCCACCCACCTCTTGGGAACATGGCAGATGGAGAGCTATAGGCTGCTTCAGTCTGGACAATGTCCTCCATGCCACCACAGCTGCGGAACATGCCAGATGGAGAACTATAGGCTGCATCAGTGTGGACCATGTCCTCCATGCCACCACACCTGCGGGATCATGGCAGATGGGAGCTATAGGCTGCTTCAGTCTGGACCATGTCCCTCCATGCCACCACACCCTGCGGGGGAACATGGCAGATGGGGAGCTCTAGGCTGCTTCAGTCTGGTCCCTGTCCTCCATGCGACCACAGCTCAAGGGAACATGGCAGATGGAGAGCTATAGGCTGCTTCAGTCTGGACCATGTCCTCCATGCCACCACACCTCTTGAGAACATGGCAAATGGGGAGCTATAGGCTGCTTCAGTCTGGACCATGTCCTCCATGCCACCACACCCTCACGGGAACATGACAGATGGGGAGCTCTAGGCTGCTTCAGTCTGGACCATGTCCTCCATGCCCCCACAGATGCGGGAACATGGCAGATGGGGAGCTATAGGCTGCTTCAGTCTGGACCATGTCCTCCATGCCATCACACCTGCGGGAACATGGCAGATGGGGAGCTATAGGCTGCTTGAGTCTGGACCATGTCCTCCATGCCACCACACCTGCGGGAACATGGCAGATGGGGAGCAATAGGCTGCTTCAGTCTGGACCATGTCCTCCATGCCACCACAGCTCTTGGGAACATGGCAGATGGGGAGCTATAGGCTGCTTTCAGTCTCGACCATGTCCTCCATGCCACCACAGCTGGGGAACATGGCAGATGGGGAGCTATAGGCTGCTTCAGTCTGGACCATGTCCTCCATGCCACCACACCTGCGCGGGAACATGGCAGATGGAGAGCTATTGGCTGCTTCAGTCTGGACCATGTCCTCCATGCCACCACACCCGCGGGGAACATGGCAGATGGGGAGCTATAGGCTGCTTCAGTCTGGACCATGTCCTCCATGCCACCACACCTCCTGGAACATGGCATATGGGGAGCTATAGGCTGCTTCAGTCTGGACCATGTCCTCCATGCCCCCCACAGCTGCGGGAACATGGCAGATGGGGAGCTATAGGCTGCTTGAGTCTGGACCATGTCCTCCATGCCACCACACCTCTTGGGAACATGGCAGATGGGGAGCTATAGGCTGCTTCAGTCTGGACCATGTCCTCCATGCCACCACCACACCTCTGTGAGAACATTGACAGATGGGGAGCTATAGGCTGCTTCAGTCTGGACCATGTCCTCCATGCCACCACACCTGCGGGAACATGGCAGATGGGGAGCTATAGGCTGCTTCAGTCTGGACCATGTCCTCCATGCCACCACACCTGCGGGAACATGGCAGATGGAGAGCTATAGGCTGCTTCAGTCTGGACCATGTCTCCCTTGCCACCACACCCGTGGAACATGGCAGATGGGGAGCTATAGGCTGCTTCAGTCTGGACCATGTCCTCCATGCCACCACACCCGCTTGGGAACATGGCAGATGGAGAGCTGTAGGCTGCTTCAGTCTGGACCATGTCCTCCATGCCACCACACCTGCTTGGAACATGGCAGATGGGAGCTATAGGCTGCTTCAGTCTGTCCCTGTCCTCCATGCCACGCACCTGCTTGAACATGGCAGATGGAGAGCTATAGGCTGCTTCAGTCTGGACCATGTCCTCCATGCCACCACACCTCTTGGGAACATGGCAGATGGGGAGCTATAGGCTGCTTCAGTCTGGACCATGTCCTCCATGCCACCACACCCTGCGGAACATGGCAGATGGAGAGCTATAGGCTGCTTCAGTCTGGACCATGTCCTCCATGCCACCACACCCCTGGGGAACATGGCAGATGGGGAGCTATAGGCTGCTTCAGTCTGGACCATGTCCTCCATACCACCACACCTCACGGGGAACATGGCAGATGGGGAGCTATAGGCTGCTTCAGTCTGGACCATGTCCTCCATGCCACCACACCTGCGGGAACATGGCAGATGGGGAGCTATAGGCTGCTTGAGTCTGGACCATGTCCTCCATGCCACAACACCTCTTGGGAACATGGCAGATGGAGAGCTATAGGCTGCTTCAGTCTGGACCATGTCCTCCATGCCACCACAGCTCTTGGGGAACATGGCAGATGGGGAGCTATAGGCTGCTTCAGTCTGGACCATGTCCTCCATGCCACCACACCTGCTTGAACATGGCAGATGGAGAGCTATAGGCTGCTTCAGTCTGGACCATGTCCTCCATGCCACCACACCTACGGGAACATGGCAAATGGGGAGCTATAGGCTGCTTCAGTCTGGACCATGTCCTCCATGCCACCACACCTGCGGGAACATGTCAGATGGGGAGCTCTATGCTGCTTCAGTCTGGACCATGTCCTCCATGCCACCACACCTCACGGGGAACATGGCAGATGGGGGAGCTCTAGGCTGCTTCAGTCTGGACCATCTCCTCCATGCCCCACAGCTGCTGCGGAACATGGCAGATGGGGAGCTATAGGCTGCTTCAGTCTGGACCATGTCCTCCATGCCATCACACCCTCGGGGAACATGGCAGATGGGGAGCTACAGGCTGCTTCAGTCTGGACCATGTCCTCCATGCCACCACACCTGCGGGAACATGGCAGATGGAGAGCTGTAGGCTGCTTCAGTCTGGACCATGTCCTCCATGCCACCACACCTGCGCGAACATGGCAGATGGGGAGCTATAGGCTGCTTCAGTCTGGACCATGTCCTCCATGCCATCACACCTGCGGGAACATGCCAGATGGGGAACTCTAGGCTGCTTCAGTCTGGACCATGTCCTCCATGCCACCACACCTGCGCGAACATGGCACATGGGGAGCTATAGGCTGCTTGAGTCTGGACCATGTCCTCCATGCCACCACACCTGCGGGGAACATGGCAGATGGGGAACTCTAGGCTGCTTGAGTCTGGACCATGTCCTCCATGCCACCACACCTCAAGCGAACATGGCAGATGGGGAGCTATAGGCTGCTTCAGTCTGGACCATGTCCTCCATGCCATCACACCTCTTGTGGGAACATGGCAGATGGGGAACTCTAGGCTGCTTCAGTCTGGACCATGTCCTCCATGCCACCACAGCTTGGGAACATGGCACATGGGGAGCCTATAGGCTGCTTGAGTCTGGACCATGTCCTCCATGCCACCACACCTGCGGGAACATGGCAGATGGGGAACTCTAGGCTGCTTCAGTCTGGACCATGTCCTCCATGCCACCACACCTCTTGGGAACATGGCAGATGGGGAGCTATAGGCTGCTTCAGTCTGGACCATGTCCTCCATGCCATCACACCTGGGGAACATGGCAGATGGGGAGCTATAGGCTGCTTCAGTCTGGACCATGTCCTCCATGCCACCACACCTATGGGAACATGGCAGATGGGGAGCTATAGGCTGCTTCAGTCTGGACCATGTCCTCCATGCCACCACACCTGCGGGAACATGGCAGATGGGGAGCTATAGGCTGCTTCAGTCTGGACCATGTCCTCCATGCCACCACACCCCACTTTGGAACATGGCAGATGGGGAGCTCTAGGCTGCTTCAGTCTGGACCATGTCCTCCATGCCCCCACAGATGCGGGAACATGGCAGATGGGGAGCTATAGGCTGCTTCAGTCTGGACCATGTCCTCCATGCCCATCACACCTCTTGGGAACATGGCAGATGGGGAACTCTAGGCTGCTTCAGTCTGGACCATGTCCTCCATGCCACCACAGCTGCGGGAACATGGCACATGGGGAGCTATAGGCTGCTTGAGTCTGGACCATGTCCTCCATGCCACCACACCTGCGGGAACATGGCAGATGGGGAACTCTAGGCTGCTTCAGTCTGGACCATGTCCTCCATGCCACCACACCTGCGGGAACATGGCAGATGGGGAGCTATAGGCTGCTTCAGTCTGGACCATGTCCTCCATGCCATCACACCTCTTGGGGAACATGGCAGATGGGGAGCTATAGGCTGCTTCAGTCTGGACCATGTCCTCCATGCCACCACACCTATGGGAACATGGCAGATGGGGAGCTATAGGCTGCTTCAGTCTGGACCATGTCCTCCATGCCACCACACCTCTTGGGGAACATGGCAGATGGGGAGCTATAGGCTGCTTCAGTCTGGACCATGTCCTCCATGCCACCACACCTACGGGAACATGGCAGATGGGGAGCTCTAGGCTGCTTCAGTCTGGACCATGTCCTCCATGCCCCCACAGATGCGGGAACATGGCAGATGGGGAGCTATAGGCTGCTTCAGTCTGGACCATGTCCTCCATGCCACCACACCTGCGGGAACATGGCAGATGGGGAGCTATAGGCTGCTTCAGTCTGGACCATGTCCTCCATGCCACCACACCTGCTGCGAGAACATGACAGATGGGGAGCTATAGGCTGCTTCAGTCTGGACCATGTCCTCCATGCCACCACACCTGCAAGGGAACATGGCAGATGGGGAGCTATAGGCTGCTTCAGTCTGGACCATGTCCTCCATGCCACCACACCCTTGGGAACATGGCAGATGGA